GAATTTATAATTCTTTTTTTTGTCTAATCAAAAAAGAAATTATGTATTCGAAGGTGAAAAATTGGTTGATAAGACTTAATATAAGTTGATTAATGAAAATCTATTTGATAAATAATTTAAAACTTTGATTCATAAAATGAATATTGTTAATAAAGAATTATCTGAAGAATTTATTGCTGTATTACAAGAGATTTTAATTTAATATTCTACTTTAACTATTTAAGAAGAGGATTCAAAATCTGTTATAGATAAAATTATTCTACACATTTAAAATCCAGAAAATAAAGAAAAATTTAAATATTTATTAAATTGGTAAAAATTAAAAAACATAACAAAAGAAACTCGTATGAAAAGAGCATTTGAAGATTTAGAAGAAAAACGCAATGAAATTAATAAAAAAACATCTGACAAAGTAAAAAGAAAACATTAAGAATTTATTGATAGTCAGAAAAGAGAATTAGATGAAGAAAATAGTTTAGAACCACTTTTATATTTAATAACAAAGCTAGTTGAAGCATTTTGTAAAATAATGGGAAGATGATTTATTATATTTTTGGATCAAATATTAATTAATATAGAAAATTATTATTATATTATTATTAACTAAAATTTAACTATTATTTCTTTTGTTTTATTGCAATATAAAACTATAAATCTTCTTAAGCTACATCAATTAGTTTAGAAAATCCATATAAGAATTTTTTCTATTAAACCGCAAAACAAATTATCATTATTATTATTTGCAATTTTTATAAAACGAATAACTAACTAATTCTTTCCCAACCCCAACCCCAACCCCAAACCCAAAACCAGGAGGAGAAACAAGGCTACCACAAACAATTGGGCAATCACGGAGGTCTTCCAGTTGAGGGCCAAATACAGAACAACAGCCACCTCGTATAGAACATATATTAAATAAGTAACACGAACATTAGTATATAGAACATATATCAAATAAGTACAATAAAATATACTGGTTAGAAAATTCAACATTATGTGACATACTAGTGGCCAACCCCTACCCCAAATTTTTTTTTTCTCAAATTTTGTTTTTGTTTGTACAATTAAATATATCAGATTCAACATTCTGGTTAGAAAATTCAACATTATTTGACATACCAACCCCATTTTTTTTTCTTGAAAAATTAGTTTTTTATTAAAAATTATGGATAGAACATTCAACATTATCTCTGACTGCTGAAATAAATTTATAGTGGGCAACCCCTTTTTGCCTAATTACAAACCCTAATATCTTTATTCAAATTTTTTATAATTATCATTTTAATTCTATTACTGTATTTAAATTATTCTAATACAGTTAGTGGATTACATAAATAACTCATATACATTATAATAATTCATATGATTATTAATTCAATAATAATACAAAATTAAATTGAATCAATTATTCCATCTCTAAAATAATTCTCTATTTAAAGTTTCATTAAATTATATCTATTCAATACCAATAAAATTAACTTCTGATGCAAGCATACCTTATGCTAATGCCATCAAAGCTTGCGATGCCCTTTTAAACTAATAAGAGGTGTTAGATTCTTTTGCCTATTAACATTAAAATCTAAAATCCTTTATGAATTGTCCTTTACACCCTATGTGATGTTGACAGATTATATCCCCTGATTGAGTGATGAATAAAGGTTCTCCACAAGTTTCATCATACCAACCTCTAACTTCAATTGAACCGCAAACACATTAAGGAGGGCATGAAATTTTTAAAGGTATCATGGCTGCCTATTAAATTTTTCCTTTTGGTTTGCTACTAGCTAACATATTAAATTAAAATAATGTAATAATAAAGCTGTTGAAACTAATAGATAAAACTTAAAACACTTAATTTATTCTATTGAATGCTTATTATTTAATTCTATTTAATATAAGTTATTAATTTTATTCAAATTTAATTTTTAATTTATCATTACAATGTAATCTACATATGACTTCCATTTTCTTTTAAATCTTATACATCAATCTCAATTCTAGTTAGTTATTCATTTTAACATATTATTAAACTTATTTAACTCAATTCAATTAAAATTTTCTCATCTTAAAAGTTTGTATCTTAATCAGCTACAAGAGTGGCGTATGATGGACTGAAAAATATTTGAATTGGCTTAAGTACAATACATCAAATCAAATAAAGACTTGCTTATACTCACAATAATTCAAGGAAGTTTTTTTTCAAGAGGTAGTTAAAAATTTCATGCTCCAAGAATACCATCCAATTTATAAATAGTTTTAGAAGTTTTATTTTTAGTACTGAAATAAGATTAGAATTTAATATGGTGAATTTAAATCTCATTATTGTGAAGCTATGATTGCTTTAGTATTATATGAATATATTTAATAAAACTGTTATTTTTGAGCAATTCCTATTAGAAAAATAATTTATTTTCTTTTTATTTGAATAAATTAAAGTATTTAAGATTAAAAATTTTACATTTATTATATATTTATTTAGAAGAAAAGAGCAAAGACATTTAATGTCTCACCTATTGACATATAAAATTAAATCATACTTTCTATAAATATAAGAATGTTTATTAATTTATTGAAATTAGATTTATTAATGCATCCCATTATAAACGAAACTAGCAAAAAAAATATAAACTTGATCCCAGATTATATAAAACCCTAACACCCTAATTGACTAATTTATATTTTAATGAAATGAGATGTTTTATTTGTTAAAATAATTATATTGAAGACTTGAATTCTGAGCTTCATTTTTAAAAGGGCGATGCTTTACGTCTAAGCTACATGACTTTTCTAACAATTTCTCCATGATGAATAATATATAGAATTTGTATTTGAAGTAAATTGAACTTTATTTATAATTTTATATGGATTCTAATTAGAAAAAGGTTTTAATATTATTAATTTCTAATTAGTTCTAAATATCAGAGAATGATTATTTTATTTCCTTTCTTACTTGATTAAGCATGTAAAATGAGAATTTATAATTCTTTTTTTTGTCTAATCAAAAAAGAAATTATGTATTCGAAGGTGAAAAATTGGTTGATAAGACTTAATATAAGTTGATTAATGAAAATCTATTTGATAAATAATTTAAAACTTTGATTCATAAAATGAATATTGTTAATAAAGAATTATCTGAAGAATTTATTGCTGTATTACAAGAGATTTTAATTTAATATTCTACTTTAACTATTTAAGAAGAGGATTCAAAATCTGTTATAGATAAAATTATTCTACACATTTAAAATCCAGAAAATAAAGAAAAATTTAAATATGTATTAAATTGGTAAAAATTAAAAAACATAACAAAAGAAACTCGTATGAAAAGAGCATTTGAAGATTTAGAAGAAAAACGCAATGAAATTAATAAAAAAACATCTGACAAAGTAAAAAGAAAACATTAAGAATTTATTGATAGTCAGAAAAGAGAATTAGATGAAGAAAATAGTTTAGAACCACTTTTATATTTAATAACAAAGCTAGTTGAAGCATTTTGTAAAATAATGGGAAGATGATTTATTATATTTTTGGATCAAATATTAATTAATATAGAAAATTATTATTATATTATTATTAACTAAAATTTAACTATTATTTCTTTTGTTTTATTGCAATATAAAACTATAAATCTTCTTAAGCTACATCAATTAGTTTAGAAAATCCATATAAGAATTTTTTCTATTAAACCGCAAAACAAATTATCATTATTATTATTTGCAATTTTTATAAAACGAATAACTAACTAATTCTTCCTTTAATGAATACATAAATTTCTATAAATATATGCCATTAACTCTCTTTTATTAAAATAGTTTGTAAACTTATTGAATCGGTTTAAATTTTCCTATCAATAAAGATTCTGTCACGTCCCCAAGTAATTTTAAAATTGGGAACACTATAACATACTACAAAGCATCTATAATTTCAAGTGGAATATTTCCTCATTTTTGAAAAGCTAACTATATTAAAGAAAACATACTTAACAAAATCGTTTTTTCTCAAATATTTAGAATATTTATTTCATTTAGTAAAACTTTCTTAAATAAAAATAATTAATTTTTCGATTTTCACATTTTTATCCTATGAAAAAATATTTTAAATTTAGTAATTTTATCAATTTTTATATGTCAAAGCTCTTATTAAATAATACCCTATATGTTTCCACAAATCCTTATTAATTACCTAATTAATCCTAGTTTATATGAGTGAAAATAAGAATAAATCATCGTGAAATTTAAAAGAAATTTCTAATGAAGACCAATGATGATTTATGATTGTTTTTTATAATTGAATGAAATGAGATTATGTAATTAATATTAATTTATCTAGTATTCCATATTATATTTAATTAGATAATCAAAGTCGGTTGCCAGTAACTTCTGTGTGAGTTTATAATTATTTTTTCTTTTTCTAGAAAAAAATCCCATATCTCTCTATTACTTATTTAATTTTGTTTGACACTATTCCATATTTTAAAATTTTTTGTAAGAAACCTTAAATAAATTCATTGATTATTTAATTTTAATACAAGAAGTAAAATTAAAAATTTATTTAATCTGCTATAATTAGATTTATTTATTCAATAAAGNAAAAGAAAACATTAAGAATTTATTGATAGTCAGAAAAGAGAATTAGATGAAGAAAATAGTTTAGAACCACTTTTATATTTAATAACAAAGCTAGTTGAAGCATTTTGTAAAATAATGGGAAGATGATTTATTATATTTTTGGATCAAATATTAATTAATATAGAAAATTATTATTATATTATTATTAACTAAAATTTAACTATTATTTCTTTTGTTTTATTGCAATATAAAACTATAAATCTTCTTAAGCTACATCAATTAGTTTAGAAAATCCATATAAGAATTTTTTCTATTAAACCGCAAAACAAATTATCATTATTATTATTTGCAATTTTTATAAAACGAATAACTAACTAATTCTTATTTGATATCTCTATTTTTAATACTTTTTTTATTACATCGCATTTTTCATACTTCTTTAACCATCTAATCTATCTTCTTTAATAATTAATTTTTCATATTAAATAAGAACTTAATAATTAAATATATAAAATTATTTTTATTTATTTTGTCTTATAATGCTTAGGTCTGATTTTATCATAAAACAGAATTTATAAGTAACTCTATCATATTGTTATTTGATAATATATTGATATATTTAAGAACTAAAAAACTATAGAAATTAAACTATTATCAATACTCTGAATATTTTTAGAAATGACCTTTTTATCAACTTATGACCTTCTTTATTTTGATAATGATTTATATGTATGTTATATTTCAATATCACATAAAATATTAAATTTGAGAACTCAAAATATTGCGAAAAATTCTCATATTTTTAACTAAGTAATTCTAGTTTATGTGACCAACAAATCTAGATTGAAATGATTATATAATAGAATTTAGTTGCACTAACAGCCATAATTTCAAACATTATCCTCCTTCCATCTATTTCTTCTAGTTTATGAAAATAAAGAGAAAAAGACGTTAAAACCTTATCTCTCAACAGTTAATCTTTTTTATCTATAGTAATTGATATTTTCAATTTCAAGATTATACTATAGTATTTACTTTATTTCAATCTTTGTCAGTTTCACCTCTACTTTATTAGATCATGTTTATTTATTAAAATAATATTGCTTAAAACTAAAACTCCCTATAATTCTTAAATTTAATTTTTCTAGCTAATTAAAGCAGAACTTTTTATTTCAAATTCCCATCCCAATTTCGGAATCTCCTTTATTCTAAAATGCTTGTCAATTTGAAATATGCCTTTAATCTCTCTAAAGCATATTTTTCTTTTTTATTTTGAGAATATCCATCAGTAAAGTGAAGATAATTTTTTCTTTAGGATAAGTGATATGAAAGATAATACTCCTTTTAATTTTTTAATTAAATCATTATATCAGTAAATAATATATAAATCAATTATCTTAAGAGATTAATGCAAATCTAATTAGATCAATGCATTTATTATCTGTTTCAAAGTAATTAAAAATTGCCAAAGCCTAAATTAATAAAGAATAAAATACATCTAAGAATTAAGAAATTCCATTAAATGATCTAATTGCACTAGCTGCAATAATATTATCTAAAATTTTAACTGCATCTTTTTTTGTCAATCCTAAAAATATATGTTTTTGAACATGTTTTCCAACAGATTAATATATAAAATTAGTTAAATGGTTTTTAATAGATTTTATTAAATTAGAATGATAGTAATCAAATGTTTTAATAATTGATTTTTCTTAATTAATCAAACCTTATACCAGAAATTTGATTTCCATAAAATCAAAATGCTATAAACTAATTATTTCCTAGACACAGATTAAATATTGATCATATAACCATCGATAATGATTACCTTAATAATAAAAAAATAAGCCTTTTAATGGATGTTATCTTGAATCAAACCATCCTTTTAGATTAGTCTCAGTCTCATCAATTAATTTTTGAGCTTATTGAATTTAATTTAAAAATTGAAATGATTAATTTAGAATAAGATACATCAGAGATACATAGGGATGAACTATATTTTAATTAAATGGCAAGGATGATTAGTATCCATCAATCGATTTTTATGCACATTGCATAATCCAATTATTAATTAGCTTTTTATTAGTTCCATGTTAAGTTCCAATTAAAATATTCAATTGAAAATCTAAAATTTGTAACTTTTAATCAATCTCTGTGAATTATGATATCGTATTAAATTTTAATGAATGAAATGCTTATTATTTAGTTTCTTCACTGGCTATTCTTAGTTTTATGATCTCTAAATAATGACTATGATCTATAAAATAACTTTATATCATAATCTATTGATTTTAAGTTAACAAATAATTAAAATAAATTGCATATATCATTTACAAGTAATTTATATGAATTTTATTCTATAACTCTAATTATAATTCAAAAAGCAAATTAAATTTCGGTAAATTATTCTGTATATTAACTAAAATCCTAATATGATTAAGGATTGCATCATTTATAAAATCTGTATTAAATAAATGTATATAATCACCATCATGATACTCATCAATAAGTGATTCATACTCTTAGAATTTAAAATTTTGAAGAGTTGTATGAATAGGATATTCTTAAACCTAAAATAGATGTTTTAATTTTACAATTTCATTGTTGATAATTGAAATTATAGTTCTTTATTACTTTAAACAAGCATCAATATAAGATAATGTTTTTTCAGAATATATTAATGCGGTTTCATAATCAATTAAATTTAAATGAAATTTACATTTTAAATGAGCAAGAAGAGCATACATTAGAGTCGTTTCTTTATATTCACATATGCTGATTCTATTTATATATCATTAATTATTACAAATATTTTTTTTTTGGATCAATATTTCCTAACAAAGCATTAACTACATCCAATAAAGATTGAAATAAATGCAATAATCTTATTAATTATGGTTAATGTTATAATACACTTAAAGTTTCAACCAATATTTCTGAAATTAAATAATAATCTTAATGCATCATTAAATTAAATAATTAATATTAACAATTGAATTTTAAATCATCAAAATATAGAAACTGTTACGTATATTCAAATAAATATTTTGATGGAGCTAGAAGGCAATTATTTTTATTTTTATATATACTCTCTAATATAATTAGATCTTATTCAAAACCTTTATGAATTTTATGAAATATGAATGCTTTAGAATTAAGTAATCTTTAGGAGAATTAATATACTAAATCAAACATTTCAAATTGTTAGAAATAGAAATATGCATGAAGTAACCCTAAAACCAAAATTGAACATCCAAAATCTTGATGAAGATGATCTTATATTTTAATAAATGATTTTTTTAAGTTTGAATGATATCGAATACTACAATTTAAAAATTAGCAAAATAGTTGAAATTACTGATAATCTGTTAAACAATAATCAAAATTGAAGTTATTAATTTGTTGATTATTTATTTAAATGCATTTAAGTGATTAACAATAAAATTTAGGATTTGATGATAATTTATGAATCTGACTGGTTGCATACTCCAACTCTTAATTATCAATTAAATCGAAATTTTCAATGTGTTTTGGTGAAAATGTAAAACATTTTGAAAGATAATAAAAAATCTATAATTATTCCAGATTTTAATGGAAAAACCAAGAGTCTTTTTCAGGTTTAAATTACGAATGGTTTTCCTATAATAATTTTATAAATGAAAATTATTTCATAAAATGAATTTTATTTTTACTCTTTTAACATTATATATTATGATTTGTTGGCTGAACATCATCTAGATGTAAAATCTGTTATATAGATTTTATTTAACAAAGTAGTTGAAATGAATTTGCATGAACTTACTCATATTAAGTTTATAATATTTTTCTATTCTCTAATGTAGGTTTTAAATTAGAAAATGATAATATTTACATTTTCATGAAATCATCATCTTCTGATTAAATTAATTTTATGAATTTATTTCTCATTATTTCATTCCACTTCATATCGACAATATGTAAATATTTTCCAACTTCACAATACATTTCTTATTCGTTGTCTTTTAATTATTTGGCCTTTTGATCCCTACTAATCATATTTAATTAATTTTTGTAAAAATAAAACACATTTTTATCAGCTCCATCAATTGCTATAAATGATTTATAATGATTTTAAAATTAATCATTTTTTGAATCAAAGCCTATTATCAACTATAAGAATTGATAATATAATAACTAAGAATAATAAAGCTAATTTTCATCATTTAATTATAAATTTGAAGACTTTTAACCATGACTTTCTAATATTTCCTCATCTTAAGGTGATCCTTATTCAAAATTTATTAATGCTGTACTACATTCTAATGGTACATCTAACAATTAAATATTTGATTCTCGAAAAACTAAAGTTTTTTAACTCTCAATAATTTCTTATAATTAAATATCAGCAAGAATAAAATTTTCAATAAAATATGTTTGAATTGCTTTTATTGCTTAAAATTGGTTTAAGTATCGTTAAATTTGAGTTTGGTATTAAATTATTATTGAAATATAATCTTAATTCTTCCTTAATGTGTTTATTAAGTTTAATCTATCAAAAGAACTTATGGACGATCCCTAATCTATATTTTATTTTAATTTTCTTTTTAATATTATACATTATTCAATTTCTGATAAATTTTCTAATTTTATATTTAAACTTAATTATCGAAATATAACTCTAAGTTGAATACTGCACCTTTTTAATCCTTCAATTAATTTATTACTATCTTAATCAGTTTCTTATTTTAATGCAAATTAAACAGAAAATTTGAAATAATAGATGAGCAAAATATCTAAAATTCTTTTAATTTCATTTGATTTCAAAATATAATTATGCAAATTTTTTGAAAAATAATTGACAAAATGATTAAGTAAATTAGAATCAATTTAAAAAACAACAATTTTGAAATAATTCTCAACCTTTTAAATTAAATTTAATGATCTTTTGAATTATTTAATTCGAACATGAAAATTTATTTTATGTTTCATTAATTCCATATATGATTAATAAGTTTCTTCTTTTTTTTTTTTAGCTTATTAATAATCTAGTTCTATAAATGGTTATTAAATAGATATTAAATCAATTATTTAAGAAGGTGATCTTTCGATAGAAATTAATTCTTATAATAGATGCTGTAATGGATGCTTCATTTCTATTAATGCTTATTTTAGATTATTAATAGGTTTAAGTAAAATCATTTCGGCTATTATCTAAACTAATTCTTAAATAGAATTTCTCTCCTAATTAATAGAATTAAGCACCATATATTCATTTGATACTAAAATATAATTATATATGGAAATATAGCCAACCTTTCCCTTTTATATTAAAATTAAATTTCCATACATAAATTACTTCAATTCTTCTACAGAATAAAAAAGGGAATGCTATCTTCTAAATTATATTACTTAGTATAAGCTTTTGCAATTTAAACATGAATATAAACAAACACAGTAACCTTTTATTAAAAAATCATCTATCTAATCTATAATATTTAATCGTCTAATATAATTCTTACTTTATCCTAAAAATACTCCTTAACCGCTATGATAAAACTTTTAAAATTGCAAAACCTAACCATGTTTAATTTAAAAAAATTGCATCAAATATTCTTTTTAATCAATTGTTACCAACCATAAAATATCATGAATATGTTTTTAAATTTTAATATTTGGAATTTAATTTATTTCATCCATAAAATATTGTAATGAATACTCTTCTAATTTTGTTGTATATTGTTCAAAAATATAAGTGTCTTTGGATTTATCAATAACATTTTTATAAATATCTGATTTTAAATTGAATAAATGATAAATTTTATTATTAATTCTACCATTTGTAGATGAAAATGTATATTAGGATTTTTACCTAAATAAATAACAATAATTTTTACTCATATTGTAATGAATCAAATAGATCTATAAACATTTCTAAAGTGTATTAATTAATCGAGGAATATTGAACTAAAGCACTAAACTTTTTATGAATGTCTGATTCATATTACACTTAATTCAATTTTTTATTGGCTTCATAACTTAAAAGTGCATTTTAAATTGATGGCAAACGTATAGTTTATTTTCGAAATCCTTTAAAAAATAGGCATCGATACCGAAATATTTGAACTTTTCTGCAGTTTAACCAAGATTTCTTTTTTATAAAGTTTGCTTTTTTTTTAATAATATCGGCTTACTCATTTTTTTCGTCTTGATTTAGTTAATTACTAAACTGTTAAAGTTGTTTGCGAAATTTAATAAAAGCTTTATCTTAATAAAATTCGTAATTAGTTTCATAACTTTATTTTAAAATCTAATACCTTTTGTAATCTAAATTATGCAATAATTTCAATTTTCTTTACATGAATGATTAACTTAAATGAATTCTAAAATCACTCCATATCAAAGTATAATTGGATAAAAGATTTATTCTAAATAAAAATCTCCAAATTTTTGTTCTATCTGATAGTAATTTCTTTTGAGCCTATTTACATGAGGAGATTTAAAAAGCCCAATTAGAAATTCTTTTTGAAAAATAATTATTCAAAAATTAATAATCTAATTACTTAACATTTTTAATTTTATTTCCCAAATCTTTTATTTTAGTTTATTATTTTTTAATAAGTAAAGCATCTGTTTTTAAATCATCTTTTTATTAAAATAATGCTGATCCACTCTAAAAATCAAATGATTCAGAAAAGGTTTTTAAACCTGCATTTGAGGAGTATAATTGGTTCTTAGTTTCTTTGTTTTAAGAAAGCTCAATTAATTTTTATTAATATTCCTCTTCAGCATTCACCAATCTTTTAGATATTTTATCAAGATTTTCAGAATAATATTGTGAAATATCTTCATCGGAACTGATGGTTTCAAAATTTGAAGATTACTAAATTCTATTAGATCCAAAAATTTTATAAATAGGGTTTCTTTATAATTATTGTTTATCTTGTTTCTCTTAACTACTTTTGTTGATCAAACTTTATATATTACTTTTGTAAATATATTTTCCCCTTTTAATGAACGATTCCAAAATTTAAGGAGTATTTCCAAACAATGTCATAGTTATACATTTAATGAAAAAGTGATAAAAAAGCAATGACAAATATAAAAGTATAATATCATCTACCAATCTAGCATTATAATATATACTTATTATTCCTGAATTACACAATATAGTAATTAAATTTATCAATTAATTTAAGTCATCCCATACACCTAAAGAACTTTCACTTTTTGGCCAAGGTCTTTAATATTAGTAATTGAGTTTAAATTTTAAAATTTGAGTTTATATTATAATCCATATCCAAAACAAAGTAATACTAAGAGGAAATAAACAACCAAAAAAATTAATAAGACTTAAAAATTAAAAAAACTCCATATATTCATCTACAATACCATCTTTTTCTAGAGGTCTTTAAAATGGAATTTTAGAATTTTGATTTTCAATTATTGAAAGTAAGGATTAATTATTTTAAAAATATCTTTTATTCTTAAATTATTCTCTTAATTTTAAATACAATTTTAAATATCTTATTACTTATAAAATAAATATTAAACAAATTGTAGTTGCAAAAAATGATTATATTTCATTTTTACAATTATCCTCTTAACAATATAGATTAAAAGGCGTATTAAGAAATTAAATCATTAATAAAGGAAATAATCCTGAAAGACTATATAAAGTAAATTTTTTAATGGTATAACTTTTCTCATAAGAATTTTAAATTTGAAGATTTTCAAAATCGGTCAAAAATGTTGCAATTTATTCATAATATTATTCAATAATTTTCTAAATTCCAAAATTTAGAGTAGCTGATATTATAATTTCAAGATTCTAAAATGTGTTATTTATATCATTAAATTTTAGTTTGAGAAATAAATTAAAAAAATAAATTCCAATCATAACTCCAATATCTGCAAAAATTAAGAAGATCAAAATAAATATAGAAATACCTAACCTTGATATAATTTAAGTATTAGATGAGCCTAATGAATTTAATTCATCATTTTCAACAGAACGAATACGATTACCTTTAAATGAAGCAAGTGTTAATTTTTCTGATGACTTTTAACTTAATCCTTATCTTAAATTAAATTTAATTTAAATTTATCTCCAATGATCTGTTACAAAAGAGTTCCAAAGAACAATTAATAAAGAAAAAATTGAAATCATTGCTGTATAAGCCTAATAGTCTATTGATTTTGAAAATATAATAGCAATAGTAAATAAGAAACCTAAACCTGCTAAAATAGAATAGCATTGAATATTATGAGATGAAAATTCTAGAAACAAGCCTATCTTTTCTCCAAAATAAGAACAGATTCTTTGTTTAGGCAATTTCCATGGCTAACTAATACAGAATTGCCATTCACCTATTAAATCAAAAGGTTTATTCTTATAAAATTAATTCTATTCACTAATTGCATTTTGAATACTTTTACATTAACCTTACAATTCATAATAATCATGTAAACAGAAAATTGTATTAACTAATTTTAACTTAATCAATGTATTCAAATTAATACTGGACTGTATTACTTAATATGCTAAAAATAATCTTTCATTATTTGGAAATAAGGTAATATGATTTTTTTCATTCTTAATATATCTACACCATCTTAATTGGTATTTAGCAATATTTTTAACTGAAGAATCTTTTAAATAAGTTTTAAAAGGTATATTTAATTCAAATGGGTAAATTTTTATTCTCTCCCAAATAGTCTTTAATAAAAATGTAGTGCAATTTGCTACTTTCAATGATTCTGTAAAGACTGTTTAATAATTATGTGCTAATTATTACCGTAAATACAACTTTATCTTTTTTATTTTAGGTAATTTCGATGATAATATTAACCTATTAGATTGAGTAATGATTTGTTGAACTTCTTCATGTAAATCATTGATATTATATTATTCTTAGAATTCAAATTCATTAAATTTGTTTTCCTTTTAACGTTTTCTAAGTGCATAAAGCTATTCAATCGTTTTTTATTCATCAATAATTAAAGCTATATCACTTTTAATTTAAAATTTTTTTCTGTATATCTAAATATTGTTATTTAAATGAACTAAATATTTATAGTATGTTGTCCATTCTTCATCACTTGGTCCTTCTTAATCACCATAAATATCTTATTTGCCATATTAAAATAACTCAATATTTAATCCACTTTGTCCAACTTCTCTAGCAACCTTCTTAAAATTAATTTATTATATTTGCTCAATTATTAATGGTCGCAAATATTTTAAATAAGAAGATATTTGATACTCTTAAGGTCTCCATAATCTTCCATTTAATCTTAATGGACGATACTATCTATCAACTGGTTCTAAGGAGAGTAAATCAGTAAAACAAAATCCAACTTTTTTTGATAATTAATTGTTTTCAGCAGCTGTCTCAAGCATTTTTTCTGACATATACAATAATAGAAATATTTTTTATCCATCTTAAGATATCTCTTATCTTACTTTAAATCCTCTCCTTGTTAATTATAATATTAAAATATTTCTTATTAATGTTAGTAAATCTTATGTTTCTCTATGAGTTCTATACCAATTATTCCCTTTTTAATGTAAATATTCACCTTAATTATATGCTTTTTTCTAAACACATAATAATCTTTCATAATCTAATTAAAAACATTCACTGATATTATTTAAGTTACCTTAATTTTATATTATGTTTTCTAATAATTGCTATCTAAACTAAGCTACTAATTTTTGCAATATGTCTTCTTTTTACTCTTTTTGATAATCCTAAGTCTAAAATCTATTTTAGATGTTATTGTCTATTAAATATAAAGATCTAGGACTTTCATTAGATTTCTGAAATAAATCCTAAGCTGAACCTAATTAAATAAGAACATTTTTTTATTCATTCGTTTAAGTTTCAAGTCTTCTAGTTCTAATTTCATACACAGAATAAGTTTTATGATCTGATAATTATTAAAAAACAAATTATATTGCTTTTACAAATAACTTGTCATTTATTGATTTTTCATCTATTTGCAATGATTCAATTATTTAATCGAATATTTCAAATTGATAAAGTTGGAAATTCTTATCATCTTGAATATAATCAGGATTATATACACTTTATATTATATATTATAAGCTACTTAATTATTGCTTCTGGTTATTCCAGATCGTAAAACAAATTATCCTCTAATTGTTCTATATTTTGTTAGCTATTTAATATCTTTTCCTCTTCCGTCGAAATTTCCTATCCCAAAAGCAATTTCAGATATGTTTCAAAAATTTGAATATATTATTCAATCTGCTCTAATTTTTTGATTAATTTAGTTCTACTAGTTGGTTCAGATAATTATAATTAAAAGAATTAAGACGAAAGTTTTGACGCATTAACTTGAATTAAATTTTATTTGTTCTCTCTACTATTCATAAATTAAAAAAAAATCAATAAACTTTTTTAATTATTTTCATAATATTTTTATCAATTTGATTTAATAAATCGTTCAACTTTTATTATTTCCTATACCGAAATTTCTCAAGATATCCAGATATTCTGACTTCTATAAAAAGTATTTATAAAGATTTTATCGAGAAAAATTAATAATTAATTCTATTATTTCATATTTCATTATTTTCGATGAACTGAATTAAAATTAAAAATATAAATCGAAATAAATTTTATAATTAATTTTATAAAACGATTTATTTTTTGTGTCAAGTTACAAGTAATAATTATTATTATGATTGTAAAAAATTAATTTATTCTCTTATATGATTACTTGATTAAACTTAATTTTATATTTTACTAAAAAAAATAGAGTTAAGAAATTTATGAAATAATTAACAAAAAATAATAATATAAATCGAATTAAACCAGCATAAAGAATGTTAATCAATATATGAAAATTTTAGTTGATTCCTTTCTAAATTCATAGTTTCTCCTTTATTCTAGACAGCTTGTCAAAGAATTTTTACTATTCTATTATAATTTTGCTAATCAGCTAAGTTTTAATTATTTAATAAATAATCTTTATTGTTTTTTATCAAGGAACTGTAATAAAAGATAGGAAGCCTTTTTCTTCTTAATTTACTGTTAAGTTAACTCTTAGTTTTTTTTTCTTTTATTATTTTTGTGAATCTATAACTATTTCTCAATTAATTAAATAATTGATTAATTATTATGTATCTAGATCTTTATCTAAAGCTTTTCTCACCATTCTAAAGACATTTATTATATCCTAGTTCAAATAATTAAATTGGAAATCCATTTTAGATTTGATTTTATGACTTGCAATATTTTTATCATCACTGTATAATAAAATAAGGTTGTGAGACCTTAAAAGAATATATAAATTCTATTATTTTTATCCGTATTATTTTAATTAATTTGAATAATTATATAATATAAATTAAAATATTATTATATGTCATTTTAATAAAACAATTTAATAACAATATTTGGATTTAATAAATAAGGAGAAAACATAAAATTACCGCAAACATCTAAAAGTGTAGATCCCCTTATGTATACTAAAAATGATCTTCTATCATTTAGATTTTCGAGTAATCTTGAATCTTTGGAAAAAAATAAAATTAAAAACTGTCTTTCACGGTCAAAAAAGATTCAACACCCCAAGAGCAACAATGAAAGAAATGCCCCTCCTAAGATCGCCAAGAGAAAGGGAGTGCCATATTCCAAACAGTATGGGTATAGAGGGCGTTTCAGTTGGATTGGTGAGAGAAGAGACAATTTAATCTTATTTTTTAAATATATCAAAGGAAGATTTAGCGAAGAGGAAAGATAGGGTTTAGAAAAAGACTATATCACGTAAATCATAAAGAAACAGAGATTTAAGGACAAACAGGTGTTGTGAATGATAAAACACACAAGAGAAAAAAAATACAAAGTATCACTAAGACTGGGCCATACATGAATGAAGTGTAGAGCCAAAACAAAAATTTCATTTTTTTTAATAACAAATCAAAATAACTTGCTCAGTTTAACAAATGAGGCTTACCAAAGAAATATTTGAATAGCCTTCTGGCTTGTCATAGGACCTAATTAAATAGATAACAACATTAAGGAGATGGTCGAATGCTAGCACCAGTAGATTGGTGGTTAGTAGATATAGAAAACTAGATTTTGGATAAGCTGAAGAATCATTAATGGACATCATATTATAAGTTTCAGAGATGCATGGAGGAGATTATGAAATAGAAGTTAGAGTTGCTCTAAGGAAATGAATAGGATTTCTAGAAGTATCGGCTGTTACATAAAATAACTAATGCCTTCATTGACCATTCCAACATTATTTTTTATGGAAGAATATTCGATAAATCAAAAGATGAGAGGAGATACCCAAACGAAGTATTCATTAATTGATATGATTATTCATTAAAAATTAAAATTATTGGGCACTCCACAAGAAGGAAAAGCATTTATTTAGACTCTAACATTTAAAGAGTAATCAATATCATTTATTTAATTTTATTATGCAACAATTTACTGAAAAAAAACAATTTAGACTTGTTAAAAATACATGCGAATTTTTGATCAATAGAATATGTCTCCATAAATGTTTAGATATAAGAAAAATTACTTACCCAAAATTTCAACTTCAATATTTACATTTTTTAATAATCAATTTATAATTTTTGTAATATTCAAAAATTTTAATTTATGTTTTTTTTTTTGAAATAATTAAATTATATGCAAAAATTAAAAAAAAGTCACCCCGAAGACTTGAACTCGGATCTTCGCCTTAAAAGGGCGACGCTTTACCTCTAAGCTACGTAACTTTTCTAACAATTTCTCCATGATGAATAATTTATAGAGTTTGTAATTGAAGTAAATTGAACTTTATTTATTATAATTTATAATAGATTCTAATTAGAAAAAAGTTTTAATATTATTTTTAATTAGTTCTAAATTTCAGAGAATGATTATTTTATTTCCTTTCTTACTTGATTAAGCATTTTAATTTAACAAATATGTTTAAAATATTTCAAAGAAAAATTTGGATTGCTAATTTTTAATGAAATCAAGAATTATCTATTTTTTTTTATTCATCAATCTTTAATAGCAATATTTAATGTTATTTGATTTAATATTTTATTCTCAAATATTTATTATTTTCAGGAACTTTTAGAAAAATATAAATATATTTAACATATTTTATAAGTTTCATTTTTCATTTTGAGAAATTATGAATAATCTTAATAATTTAAGCCTCATGAGTATTCATTTTTTGATTAATTAAGAAATTTTGTATTAATAAAATATTAACTAGTTCCTAAAATCAAAATCTCAATTTAGATTGTAAATTCAATCCATTTTTAGAATATTCAAAAGTTTTAAGCAAAAAAGCATATATGAAAGAATTTAAATTTAGGCATTAATGTAATTGTAATTTGTATTGATATCTTCTCAATAACAATTAAGTTAAATTTAAATTTATCATAAATGCGACCCTATAATAGAATCAGAATTATTCATATATTAATAATAATTATTTTGAAATGTGGAAATATGTTTATTGTTTTGATTATTATTATAATTTATATTAAATGAGTAATAGATAAAAAAAAGTAAAACCTGGAAGGCCAAGTAAAATAAATCAAAAAGAAAACGAAGAGATTTTAAGATCATCAGATGATGATAATGAATATATTGCAGATGATTCCGATTGCGAAAAAATGTTCTCATTATTCGCTAGATAAAGCAGTTATAAAAATATCACTAAAACAGGACCAACTAAACCTAAAAAAGCAGATGAAGAATAATTAGGTGAAGTAGCAGAAAATATTAAAAAAGCACTTGAAGATTTGTAAAATGAGAATTTATAATTCTTTTTTTTGTCTAATCAAAAAAGAAATTATGTATTCGAAGGTGAAAAATTGGTTGATAAGACTTAATATAAGTTGATTAATGAAAATCTATTTGATAAATAATTTAAAACTTTGATTCATAAAATGAATATTGTTAATAAAGAATTATCTGAAGAATTTATTGCTGTATTACAAGAGATTTTAATTTAATATTCTACTTTAACTATTTAAGAAGAGGATTCAAAATCTGTTATAGATAAAATTATTCTACACATTTAAAATCCAGAAAATAAAGAAAAATTTAAATATTTATTAAATTGGTAAAAATTAAAAAACATAACAAAAGAAACTCGTATGAAAAGAGCATTTGAAGATTTAGAAGAAAAACGCAATGAAATTAATAAAAAAACATCTGACAAAGTAAAAAGAAAACATTAAGAATTTATTGATAGTCAGAAAAGAGAATTAGATGAAGAAAATAGTTTAGAACCACTTTTATATTTAATAACAAAGCTAGTTGAAGCATTTTGTAAAATAATGGGAAGATGATTTATTATATTTTTGGATCAAATATTAATTAATATAGAAAATTATTATTATATTATTATTAACTAAAATTTAACTATTATTTCTTTTGTTTTATTGCAATATAAAACTATAAATCTTCTTAAGCTACATCAATTAGTTTAGAAAATCCATATAAGAATTTTTTCTATTAAACCGCAAAACAAATTATCATTATTATTATTTGCAATTTTTATAAAACGAATAACTAACTAATTCTTCCTTTAATGAATACATAAATTTCTATAAATATATGCCATTAACTCTCTTTTATTAAAATAGTTTGTAAACTTATTGAATCGGTTTAAATTTTCCTATCAATAAAGATTCTGTCACGTCCCCAAGTAATTTTAAAATTGGGAACACTATAACATACTACAAAGCATCTATAATTTCAAGTGGAATATTTCCTCATTTTTGAAAAGCTAACTATATTAAAGAAAACATACTTAACAAAATCGTTTTTTCTCAAATATTTAGAATATTTATTTCATTTAGTAAAACTTTCTTAAATAAAAATAATTAATTTTTCGATTTTCACATTTTTATCCTATGAAAAAATATTTTAAATTTAGTAATTTTATCAATTTTTATATGTCAAAGCTCTTATTAAATAATACCCTATATGTTTCCACAAATCCTTATTAATTACCTAATTAATCCTAGTTTATATGAGTGAAAATAAGAATAAATCATCGTGAAATTTAAAAGAAATTTCTAATGAAGACCAATGATGATTTATGATTGTTTTTTATAATTGAATGAAATGAGATTATGTAATTAATATTAATTTATCTAGTATTCCATATTATATTTAATTAGATAATCAAAGTCGGTTGCCAGTAACTTCTGTGTGAGTTTATAATTATTTTTTCTTTTTCTAGAAAAAAATCCCATATCTCTCTATTACTTATTTAATTTTGTTTGACACTATTCCATATTTTAAAATTTTTTGTAAGAAACCTTAAATAAATTCATTGATTATTTAATTTTAATACAAGAAGTAAAATTAAAAATTTATTTAATCTGCTATAATTAGATTTATTTATTCAATAAAGAAACATAGAATAACCAACTTAGCCTATCTTAATAATTCCAATGACTTGTCTCATCATACACACAGTGATCATAAAAAAAGCAATGCCACATTTCTGAATTATAGCTTAGAGCAGCAAGTAAAAATTAAGTAAAGTATTCAAGAGACAAAAAAATATACATTTTTTTAACTAAATCAAATTTTTTTGTAGATCTTTGAATTCATTGGAGTCTAAAGAAAAGATAAATTTTCTTCCATTCAAAATCAATTATCTTCTAAGTTTGTCCAGCCTATTACTAATCCGAGGTATTACTACTATGCATTCTAATTTAATAAATAACTGTTTTAGTCAAAGTTTTTGTTCATATGATTGAAGATAATGAATATATTAACAAAATTTAATTAGCAATTATCAAATGTATTAAATTTAATTATCAACTGTTCCATAATTTTTATTTTGATTTAACTAATTATTATAAACTATATTCTCAATTCTTTCAACTTTCGTATAGATTATTATAGTGTTTACTAAATATTTGAATTTCTATTTAATATATAATCAATCAGTAAGTATGGACACTTTGCAATCCTTGAAAGACAATTTAAATAAATTTTAATTTTTTTTGTATTTTATCAGCTTTAGATTGAATCTTTTTTTCGGTAAATCTAAAACATTTACTTATTGTAAACTTTACATTTTTATTACAATTTCAAAAATCCTAATTGAAGAGAGGAATAAATACTGTGATAGTTGTACCAATCATTATAATCTGGTTTAATAATAATTAAAAAAAGGTCTTATCAAGTATCTAAATTTATCTTAAAAGTAAATATTTGATGATGGTGATTTGAATTTTCATTTTATTTTTATTAAAATTTATATAAAAGCTTAGAATAAAAGATCCAATATTTAAATATATTGCTACAACAATATGCTTGATCAACAACTTATCTTTAAGTTGTTTTAACCATGTTCAACATAATAATCTTCAAGACTTGGTTTGGGATTAAAATAAATAGATTAATAAATTGAAAGAAGTACCGAAACCAAAATATATTTAATAAATTTATTATCTAATATTTGCTCTAAACATAAATTTACCTATTATGAAAAAAAGAAATTTCTATTTCAAAATTTATGAAATATATATATTAAGTTTAATAAAACATTTCGAATTATCTTATATGTTTCTTCNTTACTTATTTAATTTTGTTTGACACTATTCCATATTTTAAAATTTTTTGTAAGAAACCTTAAATAAATTCATTGATTATTTAATTTTAATACAAGAAGTAAAATTAAAAATTTATTTAATCTGCTATAATTAGATTTATTTATTCAATAAAGAAACATAGAATAACCAACTTAGCCTATCTTAATAATTCCAATGACTTGTCTCATCATACACACAGTGATCATAAAAAAAGCAATGCCACATTTCTGAATTATAGCTTAGAGCAGCAAGTAAAAATTAAGTAAAGTATTCAAGAGACAAAAAAATATACATTTTTTTAACTAAATCAAATTTTTTTGTAGATCTTTGAATTCATTGGAGTCTAAAGAAAAGATAAATTTTCTTCCATTCAAAATCAATTATCTTCTAAGTTTGTCCAGCCTATTACTAATCCGAGGTATTACTACTATGCATTCTAATTTAATAAATAACTGTTTTAGTCAAAGTTTTTGTTCATATGATTGAAGATAATGAATATATTAACAAAATTTAATTAGCAATTATCAAATGTATTAAATTTAATTATCAACTGTTCCATAATTTTTATTTTGATTTAACTAATTATTATAAACTATATTCTCAATTCTTTCAACTTTCGTATAGATTATTATAGTGTTTACTAAATATTTGAATTTCTATTTAATATATAATCAATCAGTAAGTATGGACACTTTGCAATCCTTGAAAGACAATTTAAATAAATTTTAATTTTTTTTGTATTTTATCAGCTTTAGATTGAATCTTTTTTTCGGTAAATCTAAAACATTTACTTATTGTAAACTTTACATTTTTATTACAATTTCAAAAATCCTAATTGAAGAGAGGAATAAATACTGTGATAGTTGTACCAATCATTATAATCTGGTTTAATAATAATTAAAAAAAGGTCTTATCAAGTATCTAAATTTATCTTAAAAGTAAATATTTGATGATGGTGATTTGAATTTTCATTTTATTTTTATTAAAATTTATATAAAAGCTTAGAATAAAAGATCCAATATTTAAATATATTGCTACAACAATATGCTTGATCAACAACTTATCTTTAAGTTGTTTTAACCATGTTCAACATAATAATCTTCAAGACTTGGTTTGGGATTAAAATAAATAGATTAATAAATTGAAAGAAGTACCGAAACCAAAATATATTTAATAAATTTATTATCTAATATTTGCTCTAAACATAAATTTACCTATTATGAAAAAAAGAAATTTCTATTTCAAAATTTATGAAATATATATATTAAGTTTAATAAAACATTTCGAATTATCTTATATGTTTCTTCTATATATTGTTAGAAAGCAAAGGAAATTTTGTTGTTTTTTCTATAAATAATTTTTATAAATAATATTATATTTTAATAAAAATACTCTCAGAATTTAGTTGTTTCGTCTTCTAATTCTGGATCATCATCTAATGGTTTAATTTTCTAGAGTCCTAATCTATTTAATTATTTTTCTGATGTAACAACATAACTCTTTGTGAAATCAGCTTTTTCAAGTCTATTTCTGTAAGGAATGGGCATATATTTTCTATGTCTTTACATTAATCGTTTTCTTCTACGAATTACTTTATCATAATCATGCTAAGTCATATTAAGTTTAATTTTTTAAGGTCTTTCAACAAATGGTGTAAATATTAAATCATTATCAAATTCACTTGGATCCATGATTTGTTATTTAATATCACCAAGATCCTATTAGACTAAGAATAAAAGGATAATTAACTTTTTTCTGCAGAAACAGGTTTACTTGAATAGACAAGAGTTCTATCATCTCCTTCTGTCATATCTTTATAAATGCTTCCTCTATATTCAAAATCAGTATGATGAGGTAAGAATTATGGTAAAACATCATCAAAAGTATGAAATCTACCTCTAAATAAATGAATATGATCAAGTTTTTCCATTCTATAGATAGTTTTGGGTAACATTTTGGCAACAGTCCAAGCGACCTAGATTTGATATAATATAGTACTAATTATTCAGGTTTTTATAGAATAAGATCTCGAAACTTGATTTATCTTAAATTTCCAACATAACCGGTATGATAGGTAAGTACTTTATAATTGATTTTTTTTCCTGTCAAATACATATTGCAACCATTAACAATAATAAATTTATCTGTAACTTTGCCAGGTTCATTATTACGAAAGGTAGGTTTATGTTTTCCACTTAAATAGTATGCAATTCTTGAACACATTTTGCCATATGGGAATCTTGATGCATCAAATAAATGATATGTAATTCCACCTTTATGTACAGCAACATAAGTAGATCCTGGATAAGTATTTTTAGAATGTCTTTCATCTATATGATTTATTATTGAATATTACCTAAAGCTAATCTGAATTCATATTCACGAGGTTTAACAAGTTCATATTTCTCATAAGGGTCTTTAGGATCAAGTTTAGGTCTTTTTGGCATTTAAATATCTTTAACATATGGCTATTCCTTAGGCTTAAATTTAGGAATGGCTTATGAAAATCTAGCCACTAGACACCTCTAAAATAATTACATAAATAATAATTAATGTATTAAGCATAATTACATGGTATGAAATTAGCTATGGCTCCTAATCGTCGAAGAAGTTCAAAAAGTCTATAAGAATTACCTCCAAATATAGAGCTTGAAAGATAACATTCAAACGGTAGTTTTAGGATTGATCCTGGACCTATTGACATTGAAGTTAGACAATAAAACACAAAAGTAAAAAGTTCTTAATTATAGGTCTTAGATTGGATTGTATTAATCACTCCTTTGTGTTATACTCTTGTGATATTATTTTTAATATCATTCATTCATATCACTACTCCATAGATTTAATATCCATAAACAGCTCATAATATATTATAGAAGGCTCATAAAATTTAATCTATGTATCCCATAATAGATATTATTGAGTATTCTCAATATTCGTATCATATTGTGGGATGTCCTCCAGAATTTGAATTAGCAGCTTTAGGTATTTGGGAAGGAATACAAAATGGTTAAGTTTGTGATAAGGAAAACTAAAATTGTGAATAAGTTTAAAGTTTAGAACCATAAACATTAACATCTTGGAAATAAAAAATATATTGCGTTAAATATGACAAAACAGCGTAATGGCGGAATGGAAATCAATGTTAGAAACTATATAAAGAATGTAGTTAATACATTTGTGTTAAATAATAATTTGAATGTCCAATCACTGATTTATAAACAATCCATCAGTAAGGAGATATTCAATTTGGTAAAACATAATATAAGATAATAAGAGATTATAAACATACTCCTTTGCTCTATTTTAATATTTCCTCATCATCCACTTGTTTAAATTTCCTATAATAACCTTAATTTAAATCATAATAATTTTACCCTTTATCCAGAATACCTGAAATGGGTTGTGATGAATATGGTGATTATAATAATATAACCAAATCATTAGATTCTGCTCTTGTTAAGGATGTATTAAAAGAAAATAAGATCCCATTAGATAAACTTATTCATTTCGATGATTATTTATAAAATTCTGATTAGTACTAATTGTAAGTTTTAAGAGGTATCAAATTAAATTAGATTGATTAATGCAAGAATCTAAATTCTGATATCTTTAATGACTCTAGTAAAAAGAGCTTTAGAATTACAAAGATTATGAGAAGAAATAACCTTCCATTAATTATTGGATGTATTACTCTTATTCTATTTTCAATTTTAACCATTAAATTTCATAATAATGTATAAAGTAATTTTATAATAGAAATATTTATCATTTATAAATAAGAGAATCACCATAATAGTAAATCTTTGTACTTTAATCATTATGATTGTAACGTTGATTTATACTTCATTATTTTTATACGATGTTTTAGCATCAGTAAGATATCTTCATATGACTAGAATGGATTGTAGCAAATAAATGATAATTTAGATGCTTTTATCTCAAATCAGTGTATAAATATAGAAGGCATACTCATTGCTTTAGATAGAATACATTAGTATTCTTTTAAAATTTACAATTCTAATTTAAGTTTAATCTATGCTGCATTTGTGGGATCAATTATTTATTTAGTTGTTCAATTCTTCTTATATATTATTTAATATATTTCAAGTAACACTTAAGAAATATGTCAAAATCCTTGGAACAGTAGAATTAATTATGAAATTAGATATTGATATAAATATATTAATTGAAACATTTTTTTTATGCTTTTTTTTTTATATAAATTTAAGAAGAAGAAAGCATCTGTTTTTTTTTTGTTATTTTTTTTTGTTTATTTTTTTTATTATTTAATTTGTAATAATATACAAAGGTGGCTATGAAAATATGTCATTTGCCACCACGATAAGCTCCTCTTCCTCTAATAGGTTCTGCATACAAATATCTTCCTCTTGTAATATATTAAAATGCTATATTATATTAATTTATAAATACGTTATCCTCTGGCACCTCGATTACCTCTTCCTCTATTTCTTAAGTTTGTTCTTTTTTGGAATACCTTATTTATAAAATTGAATTCATACCAATATCTTTTTGCCTCTAATTATACCTTCACTTAATACTAATGCATCATCAACTGAAGTTTATTCTTAAAATTGAATATATGAATAAAGAGTGCCAGTATTCTTATCACTTCTTAGAGTCACCTAAAATATAATTTTATTGATACTTTAACTATAGTTCCACAATCTTTAAAATATTCTTTAAGATCGTCTTCTGTCGTATTTTCATCTAAATTTCTCACAAATATTGATGCTAAGTCAATATCTTTTAATTAATGTTTATTATCGGTGCCTGTTATATTTATATAGATAAACATACCTCCTTTCTTTTATGATTCATCTTCTTTTTATTGATCAACTGGTTCTTGTACTTCTAAATCATCTTCATGATTACTCATTATTTAAATCTTTAATTAATTTAATGTCATTTATCAAATTAATAGGAATAGACAAATAAGAGATCGAATTTGAAGAAAATAAAAATAGTGTGTATTATAACTCACTAATCTAAGCAAGGAAATTATAGTGTAGTGCATTGCTAAACTAGAGCAAAGAATTACTATTAAAGTCAAAACAACAGATCCTGATGTATTTTAAGTTGTAGGCAAACCATTAGTATTTACCGAACTTAATTAAAAAGGAGTCCTTTCAATCAAAGCTAATAGTGCCAAGAAAAGAGACAATGACAAAGATAAAATTCTTATCGAAGTTCATGATTATGAAGACGCTTATGAAACACCTAATTTATAACCTCCAAATAGTATTTAACAAATTCTTTTGACTGTTAGGGTGGGGAATAATAAAACTACTCAATAAAAAAATGAATTATAACAATCTAAAATTCAAAGTGATAGATTAAACAGTTCAATTGTTGAATCTAAATTGTTTAATCGAACTTCCAAATTTGGAAATTCTCAAAAATTCCTATCCTCTTATTATCAATTTGACAATATTATAGAAAAATAGAAAAGTGAATTTTTGAGCAAGTATCAATTAAAAAGTCAAATCAATACATCTAATCCTCTAATTGATACATAAACTTAACCTTAAACTCAATCTTAACCTTAAACTTAACCTTAATACAAATAAGAATATGAATAATATTTAATATTAACTGATGAATAAGAAAAAGAACTATTTAAATTAAGTGAATTGAAAAATAAACTTTAAAGATTAAAACTAAAATAATAGTAAATAGTAGAAACACCAAAACCAAAAGCACTTAATACTTTGCATATAGGTTATGCAATCATAATTGTTATTTTAAGTTTTATGATTGGAATGCTTGCTAAAACATGAATAATATTTTATTTATTTTTGAATATTTTTATTGTGAAGTTATATTTGTTATTGTAATTTTGAAAATGCTTTCAGACATCAAACAATTTGAACAAGAACATAAAGAAGAAATGAAACTTCTTTAATAAAAGTATGAATAAAAGGTATTCAATTATTCTATTTCTAATAAGATAGACCTTTTATCATAAAAAATTGACATCTTATAAAAAGAATTAGAAGTTAAAGATAATATTTATTCAGATCTTAAAAATAGATCTATTTTAAATGAGGAATCTAAGATTTAAAAAACTGATGAAGATGTTTAGGATTTTGGTGCCACCATCTAAAAGTTTCATAAATAAAAAGAAAGAGAAATGATGAAAATTAAAAAAAATTATTAAAAGGAATTAATTCATAATTAGAAGTTATTAAGAAAAAAAGATGCGACTATTGAACAACTATAACAAGAAATTTCATAATACAAATAAGCAGCATCATAAAATATGGATAATCAAAAAATTTTGTTGCTCTCCAAATTAATTGATCTAGCAAATGAAATTCATAAATAACTCTGATAAATTTAATTCAATAGCTTTTATTAAACTTTCTAACAAAATACCCTTTAAATCACATTAAATAATATTCATAAATTTTAATGTGTTTCTTATTTCTTTTGTTTTTATTAACTATTTATATTCTGCATTTTAATTAATAATTGTTATTATAATTTATAAAGAGAAAAATGTATCTCAAATAAAAAGATTTTATTTTTCAATAAATCTAGTTTGAATTCAACTAATAAATGAGAAATAAATAATCAAATGAATAGAAGAAAGAATGAATAAAACAATAGTTAATATGATAAGATTTTAGAAATTAAAAAGAGGATTTATAAGTCATAGACTTAAATCCCTTTATTCCTTTGGCATCCTATGTAAGAATTAAATTTAAATACATTTAAGGTTCATGTACAATGTTTATCTAAATTTCAATTTTATTTATCTTCCACCAGGTTTCTAATAAAAATTAAAGAATGTGAAACCCAGAAAAATCAAAAATTGGTTTGATGATATTCCAATATTAGTTGGTGTTGATGAACTAGAACTTAAAGAGTAAGAATTATTTTGAATAGTTTGTAGAACTTGTGCAATTTGTCTCTTAGACTTAAATGAATAAAAAGTAATCAAAATACTTAAATGCAATCACTTTTTCCATTAAGAATGTATCAAACAATGGTTGTAACTAAAGCCAGAATGTCCTACATGCAGAGATAAAATTCATAAATGATAAATTATATATATTATGTTGTCATAACTAAACAATTTGATTCATATGTCTTTAATTATTTTTTATCAGAACCAACTGTAATTTTATGCATTGTATAACAATTAATCATTTATAATCAATTATTTATGACATCATTTCTAATAATCAAAATACTTAGTATTCTACCTTTAGATTATTTATTAAAGAAACACATTTTTAATGAAATTATATTTATAACCTTTAAGACATTTTTGTTTTAAGAATCAATTCAAAAAAATGGAAAATGCCTTATTAAAATTTATTTCTTAATTTCATAAAAATCATCAAGACTATTTTCTTAAGAGTGAACTTGTTGGTCTTAATTTAGTAAGAAGTCTGTTTTAAGATTCAATTGTTACTCTTTACAAATTGTATTTTTTACTTTCTACATTATATTTAGCTTAAATTTCTTCTCTATCTAACAATATTATATCATAAAATACCTTTTTTTAGTTCTGCTAATTCTTATTTTTATTTTTCTGATTTGATTTTATTTTCATTCTATTCCTTTTTAAGTAATTCCTTCAATTTTACTATAAAAGCTCTCAATTCAGGTATATCCATCTCATTAATATTAAATAGTTCAATATCACTTGGATTAACAATTATAGGTTTATCTTAAAAAGTAGTTTAAGATCTTTAAACCCTATTAATAGGAGTTAAAAGAAAAGATTTTTCTGCACTTGATGATTTTTTATTTTGAATCTCAAATGATTTTTTTCTCTCAAGGAAATGATTTAAACTAAAATAAATTCATATATATATATACTGTTTAAATTGAGATTAAGAAGGATGAACTGGTTTATCTTTTCTTGGAATTGTGATAATCTTATTACCACTACTGTATTATCCATTTTCAATTTTATTTATTAACTATGAATATCTATTCATGATCTCATACATTTACAGCATCTCCTCTTTCATTTCTTTTATTACATTTTTTTTCTTGTCTCTATACATTTTATATTAAGAAATAAATTAATCCATTTCATTATTTTTATCTTTTAACATATTATCATGCATTTATTTCATTTATTATAAATTATTTTAATTGTCTATTTTCATTTATGCCAATTGTTTCAACAAATCTTATTCCATTTCGGTCTTTACTTATTTTTTTAATTCTTAAATCTTAATATTGTCTAATTGCTTTAAGTTAGCATTAATTGGCAATTAAAATAGTTTATTAGTTTTTTCATCTAACAATTAATTTGAATTTTCAATCACATTTTTTATACAAATTTCTTTTTCTAGTTGCATTTATCTCATCATTTCGCTCATTAATGTTTTTTGAGTAACACATTATTCATTCATTTTAAAATTTTTATATTTTTATTCAACTAATTAATTTTACCATTTATCTTATTTATCTTTAATATCTTGTTTTAATTATGAAATTTCTTGTTTTAATTAATTAATAATTGTTTATTATTCATTTAATTAAATTTGTAAATTTTAATTAGCAATTAATGCTTCTTATTATATTTTATATTATTGAATTTCTTTAAAACTTAAACAATTTAAATTATCCAAATCAAATTCAATACATAATATGTCTTTTAATGTTTTTAATTTGTTATTCTATTCTTATTAGAGTCTTTACATTTAAGCTTTTAAATCTTTGTTTTCATATTCCAACATCTTAACTTGGTTTTCCAAAGTTTATGTTTTTGAGATTTCTAATGTTCTTACAGAAGCTTTTCTAGGAAATTAAATGGCATTTCTAGTTCTATCTATATATTGCAATGTAGATAGTGTTTCATCATAATTTGAATTTGTGGGATAGATAGTACCAATTAAAATGGTTTATGTATTAAGATTAAATCCTAATTATTGAGTGAGTTTTGAATCTTCTAATGATTGTATTTTACCTTTAGAAAAAGAATTTAAACATTTTCCCAAGACTTATAATTACTATGTAGCCCATATAGCCTCTTAATACTTTTATGGTTCAGAAAGATCTTTTGTTTATCTTTCTGGTCCTGCTAAATCTAGAAATTTAATTTAGTCTTTTTAATTTATAATCAAAGTGACAATCAAATGTTCTTTACGCTTTTATTTAGAAAATGCTGCTAAATATTCCCAAACTGTTTCCATATCAAAAATGCTTATTTATGTCATATCATCTGTGACATAATTGCTTTACATATCTAATCCAATGAATTTATAGTTAATTTTAAGTTGATGTTTATCAACTAATAATTTTTTAATAATCAAAGGCATTATTCCAGGATTTTGAATATCTCCAAATAAAGTAAATGATTTTCCACTTCCAGTTTATCCATAAACTATTATCACTTTATTTAATTATTCAAACCCTATTTCTTTAACAATATCATCAGTTGTGGCATCTTGATAAATATTATCAAAAATGAACTTTTCAGTTTACTTAGTTCCTGGTGTCTATTTAGATTTTACATATCTTACCTTTAAAGTGATTTAGAACTCTTCAACTTTGAATATAGGGTTTACGTATTCATAATTTCGAATTCTCAAGAAAATTTAATAGTTCATTTTTTATAATTAANAGTAACACATTATTCATTCATTTTAAAATTTTTATATTTTTATTCAACTAATTAATTTTACCATTTATCTTATTTATCTTTAATATCTTGTTTTAATTATGAAATTTCTTGTTTTAATTAATTAATAATTGTTTATTATTCATTTAATTAAATTTGTAAATTTTAATTAGCAATTAATGCTTCTTATTATATTTTATATTATTGAATTTCTTTAAAACTTAAACAATTTAAATTATCCAAATCAAATTCAATACATAATATGTCTTTTAATGTTTTTAATTTGTTATTCTATTCTTATTAGAGTCTTTACATTTAAGCTTTTAAATCTTTGTTTTCATATTCCAACATCTTAACTTGGTTTTCCAAAGTTTATGTTTTTGAGATTTCTAATGTTCTTACAGAAGCTTTTCTAGGAAATTAAATGGCATTTCTAGTTCTATCTATATATTGCAATGTAGATAGTGTTTCATCATAATTTGAATTTGTGGGATAGATAGTACCAATTAAAATGGTTTATGTATTAAGATTAAATCCTAATTATTGAGTGAGTTTTGAATCTTCTAATGATTGTATTTTACCTTTAGAAAAAGAATTTAAACATTTTCCCAAGACTTATAATTACTATGTAGCCCATATAGCCTCTTAATACTTTTATGGTTCAGAAAGATCTTTTGTTTATCTTTCTGGTCCTGCTAAATCTAGAAATTTAATTTAGTCTTTTTAATTTATAATCAAAGTGACAATCAAATGTTCTTTACGCTTTTATTTAGAAAATGCTGCTAAATATTCCCAAACTGTTTCCATATCAAAAATGCTTATTTATGTCATATCATCTGTGACATAATTGCTTTACATATCTAATCCAATGAATTTATAGTTAATTTTAAGTTGATGTTTATCAACTAATAATTTTTTAATAATCAAAGGCATTATTCCAGGATTTTGAATATCTCCAAATAAAGTAAATGATTTTCCACTTCCAGTTTATCCATAAACTATTATCACTTTATTTAATTATTCAAACCCTATTTCTTTAACAATATCATCAGTTGTGGCATCTTGATAAATATTATCAAAAATGAACTTTTCAGTTTACTTAGTTCCTGGTGTCTATTTAGATTTTACATATCTTACCTTTAAAGTGATTTAGAACTCTTCAACTTTGAATATAGGGTTTACGTATTCATAATTTCGAATTCTCAAGAAAATTTAATAGTTCATTTTTTATAATTAATATAGCAGCAGTATAACATATAATAACCGTAACACTACTAATCATTGAATTACTACTTCCTAACCTATATGAATATGTTCGTTGAGGGGATATTTTAGATTTACTAATTGATTGATTATTAGCTTAAGTATGTGGGAAACATTTCTTTATTTAGTCATTTATGATCCTAATGCTAATCTTATAATATTATAATAACATTTATTTATGTCCATTAAGTTTAATTAGATACTAAATCATTCCAATACAATTAGAATCACTATTTGGATTAGATTTTCAATTATGTTCTTTTAATTTTTTTAGTGCTAATTTTCTTTGAGTATATATCTTTATTAAAATGATTTTCAAATCTTTCTTAGAGCCATTTTCGTTTCATTTCTTATGAATAAGCTTTGCAAACCAATCATTAACTATACAAATACGATAGACATCAACTTTTTTAATTGTTAGAGCACTTCCTTTTGCACTAACATATTAACAATTAAATGAATGATAAACATTATTAATAATTATCCTGGTCCTAATTTTAATAATATATATATTCTCTCTAAGATAATTTATTTTATTATTTCAACAGTTCAAAAGTACTTTACTTAATTTGGATTGGATAACGAACCAATTGTTTATTTGTTTTTAATCATGTCTTAATGTTTTCTTTAATCTATCATATTGAGTTTCATTCCAACTGAATTAATCTTCAAAATTATTATTATAATTCTGATAAGAATAAAATTCTCCTTCAAATATTAAATACACATATTGAGATTACATTAAAAAAGTATACATATTTGGATGGTTACATAGTTTTAATCTTTCTGAAGAATTTTTTAATTTTTGAATAACTCTTTTTTTAAAATGAGGATATTTGATTCCATCTTAAAATACTCGACACGTTAAATATTCAATTTTTTCGTTCTTCCTTCTTTTTGAGGTTTGAATAATTTTCAAATATTATTGAACTTATAATCGTAGAAATTCATAGTTATCAAACGTAATGACTGCACATTAAGCATTTTTTTTTAATGGATTCTATGAGGGCTTCATCCTCATCAATAATGCGACCGCTTTGAAATAGAAAAACATGTCCTTCAATTATTTGTGCCATCAAACTTAACATCTAGTAGGATTGAATATTCAATTGGTTTAATAAATCTTAGAAGATTATTAGATTCTCTTTAGGATAATTTTCTTTACCCTTATAGTAAAGAGTTTTAGTTGTTGGATTTAAATAGAAATTTTATGGGAGTCGTTATTAATTTCAAATATCTGCCTTTAAGAAGAATTAGAAAATAATCAATTTTTAGTTTGTATTTTAAAATAAATCTATGATTGGGTAAATAATGAAGTTTAGCTTATTAAATGAAGCTCATTAGTATGGGTTCATAATCTTTTTCAGATGTAATATTTTTTAGTCGTTGAAATTAGAGTATTTTGGACAAATAATCTTTATTGAACATTAATATTTAGAATATTCATATCAATCTAATATTGGTTTGGTATCTGGTTAAATAGGTAAAAACCAAACAAGCGGGTTTGTCCCGAAAACTTCGAATATGTTTTTCCAGATTCCTTTTTAAATTTGTTATCTTGGTTTACTTTCACAGTACTCAAGGGTTGTGATGTTTTGTTTGATTGCCCTAACAATCTCAGTATTATTGATGATAATACCATAAATGAAAGAGAGTGAAAGCAGTTAAAAGAATCCATAGGAAACAACAAAATAGAAATGTAAAAGACACTAAAAACAACTTAGCATCAGTGGAATATGAATTCATAGTGTCATAATAACAGCGACTGTAGGTAATCATAATAAATGTAATCAAAACCCCTATGTATAGAAATTTAATGAATACATGCATAACCAAGCAAATTAATGAAAAGTTTATAATTACCATAACCAATACAGTTATTTAACCATTAGCAATGATGATCCATTTTTAACCAACAGGTTTTACATTGTCTGCAATGATGACAACGTTTTGGTTTAAAAGCTCTGCAATTTTTACAATGTCTTCTACCTTATTTATCTATGAGTTCATTTTTGAATTTCTCATTTAAATTGTTACGCTATTCATCATCTACCTCTGATGAAAAAGATGTTGAAGTTTAAGATCCTTTCTTATTTTGATTAATCATTTTTTCTTCATTCACAATCATTTAAAGTATCTCATTCTCTATTTTATTTAACCATTCTACAGGTACATAACCAGGAATAGTAACAACGACTCTGACTAATGTAATTGTGAATAATATGAGAATGATATGTAATGATATCGTTATTCCCATTATTTGATTGCTGAAAACATAGTCATTGATGTGTACTAATTGAATCAAGTATGTATTAATCTCCATTAATGGTCTAGAAACATACTCTGATTTTATAAGTGGCATCAAATAAGTCTTTAACATGAATATGCACCACATACCTCCATATAAACTACATAAAAGTATAGAACTATTAGTACAAGAACTGTCAATGGAATCCATGTACCAATATATCGAAGCAATTGCCCTTCCCTATAATATTTCATTAATAAAATAAAAACGTATTTCAATGCAATCAACCTGTAATTATATAATCCAATCCATTAGATTAAAACAAATATGGTTTCGGAGAGAACTTTTAAGAATCCGAAAATTCTGAAGAGAGTTAAGATATTATCATAATAGAACCACTTGATGAATAGAAACAAGCGTATTAGTTTTTATCTTTACTATTAGAATCAATAAAACAAATGCTCTCTATTTGTCAACTTAAAATCAAGCCAATCCTAATTATTCTTCTATTCAAAGACCAGGTTAATCATCAATAATCGATTCAAGAATTTAATAAACAAACCAATCATTTCAATCAGAACATAAACCTTATTTTTAACAATCACAAAAACCTAGACATGAATAACCTATTTCAAATACCAGAGGATATGATTTAAATTCTATCTAACAAACACAACAACAATTCACAAAATAACCATTATTCAAACCTAATGCTAGTCCTTAATAACAACCAATCATTGAAGTATAACCTAGAGTTACATCATCAATAATAAAATAAACTAATAAGCAATTTCAATAACCTATTTACGATAGTGAAGAAGAGATTCAGAAAAATGAAGTTTAACTGAAAACCTCATTAAAATAACCATCCGTTGGAGAATTACCTAATGTTAGTAATTTAACCAATTCTGACATACCTTTAGGTGGAAAAACAGGGCAAAATTAGTATCCACCTCCAAACAGAGAACCAATAGCTTCTGTTTTGACAGGAAAAGATAAATAATAATTAATTGCCAATGCTAAATAATAATTATAAACTCTAGAGCTATTACCTTCAAAATTATCATCTCAAAACTATTCAGGTTAAGATATTTGCGAGATTGTTGTCTAAAAAAATGGATTAATTAAATTGCAATAAGATTTAAATAATATTCTAAGTAATGATCACAATTCAATTATTTTGGTTGCAATTATAGGGTAAAATAAATCAGGTAAAAGTACATTACTTAATGAAATTGCTCATACAAATAGTAAATCAAAATTTGGAAATAATGGAATATATATGTTATCAAAACCACTTGTAATAGAATAAAAAAGTTATTATTTTATAGATTGTTAGTGTACTGATAATTAAATGTTATAAGCTTTTGTTACTTTAAGTTCCTCAACTTTATTATACAATACACTAAAATTAGATGATAATAGTATTTAGTATTTTCCAGTTCTTGATACAATATTAAGATTATTTGGTAATGAATATGCTTTAATGCAATTATTACCTAATTTTATATGGGTTTAACGAGATACTCTCTAAGCTCGTCCAATAACTGAATTATAAGAGTTTCTTGTCAAGGCCAATAAAAGTTAATAGTTTGAAAAATTAATTAAACAAAGGGATGTAGCTTTTATTGCTCCTTAAGGATCATCAGAATATCAAGCTTCAATTTCATCATTGAAAGATAGAATTACTTTAGGAAGTGTCTGTAAATAAGTCAACAGTTACAATTTGAATGGGCCTTTAATGTATTTGTATATGGAATAAATTGTTGATTTACTGAATAAACCAGTATCATTGTAATTAGATTAATTATGGGTATCTATTTGTGAAGATTATACAAAAGATATCTATAATTAAAGTCTTAAATCATTTGTCCAATCAGTTGAGAATTGGATGAAAGAAAATTAAAAAGTTAATGAAATAGAAATATACAAATAATTTAGAGATTTTAAAGATATTTCTTTGTAAAAAATATTTCCTACTTGTTTTTTAAATAATAAAAATAGATCATATCAATAATATAAAAAAACATTGTAAGAAATTCTAGCATTTAAAGAAAAATAAGCTTATTAATTTTGTTTTTATACTAGCTAATGTGATAATGATAATTTATTGACAAAGAATATAAATAAAATGAATTATAAAGATATTGATTCATTCTCTTAAACATTTAATAATATGATAGATTTATTATTAAAGCAAAACTACTAATTTTAATAATGTACTGCATTTACAGAGAGCTTATAACGAAATTATAACAAAATGATAGAGGATCTATTTTCAAAATATTCAAAGATATAAGCAAACTCTGAAGAATAATAATTAAATTTATAATAATCTAAAGTTTAGGTGATAAACAAGGAAGAGGAATTGAAAAAGAAAAAAGAATAAGTAAATTTTTAGGAGAAGAAAAGAAACCTTTTAATTTAGGAAATAAAGGATTTATAGGAATAGATTAGATTAGAGAAAGAATCAATAGGACCTGATGCAAGATAATCTCAATAAGGTCCAAGTGAAGATCAATTGTTAGGAATGAAGTAGAAGATTGCACAAAATAAATAAGAAATTTAATCATTAAAAAAATAGATTTAAGATGCTGAACGTAGAAAGAATGAAGAAGGATGTATCATATATTGAATATCAAATATAATTATTATATATTATTTTGTTCTAAAATTATAAAATATATGAAATTCATCCTGAAGAAATAATTGATATGTTTAATGAATTTAAATCTACTTAAACAAACTAATTGTATTTGAAAGAGTTTTTGTCATTATTATAAGAAAGCTTAATTGGAAAGAAACTGTTAATAATTAATAAAGAAATTGAATAAGAAAAAAAATGAAAATTTGAATTTAAATCAATTTGCAGCTGCTTTAATTATGATTATGAAAATTTTGAGAAGTTATTTTAAATAATTGATTAGTTTCAAGAGATAAATTATGGAGTGTGGTGCAACAATATAAAAATCATGAAATCCAATAGTGATATGAAGTTTTATTTTTAAAATTAATTATTTAAAATAGAATTCATATATAACATCATCTTCTGTATGGAGCCAATTGTGATCTGCGCATATCATTAACTTCTTTTTCTTTATCAGTCAATTAAGCTCTTAAACTTTCAATTTCTACTTTATATAAAGACAAATAGAGAAGTAATTCTTCATACTTTGATCCTACTCCAAATTAATCAGCATATTTAAGTCTGAAATTATATAAAAATAAGATACCTATAAATTTCTAATTCTTTAGTAAGATCTTCTACTATATTTTATAAGCGTTCTATCTCCTAATTTAAATATAAGTTTTTCTCTTTTAATAAAAGTAGATCTTATGAATCTTGTTTAATTAATTTAGTTTTGAGTAATTCAATTTATTCTGAATAAGAGAGATTTAAAAGATTGAGTCTTTCTATTTCACTTGTAAGCATAGCCAATTTTTCATCTTAACTATATCTTTTCTTATTTAATTCTTCCTCCAAAATAGTAACTTTCCTTCTATTAGTTTCCATTTCAGTACTTCTCTCATTAATGAGAATAGACAATCTTTCTATTTCTTATGATAACATAATAATTTTTGTCTCATATTCCTATTATAATTATTCTTCCAATTTATTATAATTAGATCTCCATTATTCATTTTCATTCTATAAATGTCTTAATAATTAATTTAATCTATCATTATCAGATTTAAGTTATTCGGATTAACTTCTAATTAACTCAATTTAATTGAGTTTCAATTTATATTCTGATAACTCTCTAGATTATTATTCAATAAGGATTGAGTATTTCTATCTTTCTGTATTAAGAGTTTCATTCTCATTTCTTCTTGTTCTTACATTCTATTCAAGTTCATTCATCAATTATCTTTAAATATCATTCAATCTCTCAATTTCACTTCCTAATAATACAACTCTCTCTTCTAATTACAATTTTACTTTTTACAATTATTCTAAATTATTTGAATATGTAGTTTATTGTATAATCAACTGTTGATAATCATTTTGAATTTTTATTAAAGTGTTTTCATTTTTGTAATGTTTTTATTAAACTTATTCATTGTGTTATTAAATCTATTAGATCTATTATTCCTTTAATCTAACTTAACCATTTAATCTTTCAATTTCTTATTAATAAACTTAGCATTTATCTTCTAATTATATCAATTATTATTAGTATTAAGAATTGGCTTATATTTAAACTTCTAATTATTTAATTCTTCTATCTCTCTCTTCAATTTATTATTAGATTCTTTTCATTTCTTCCGATAATGTTCGTTCTCTATCCAACTTTGAATTTTCCTGTTTTCTTTAGTTCAATACTTCTTGCTCATATTTTTACCTATAGAAATCTAATTATTAAGCAAATTGATCATATTATTCTCTCAAAATCTAATTTTCTTGTTCTAATTCTTAATTCCTTTTTTTTGTCTGTTCAAATTATTATACTTTTTTCTAGAATACATTATTACTATTTTCAATTTCTTATGTTAATAGTAGTAATTTAGTTTCATAATTTTATTAACTTGATCCAACTTCAATCAAGGTTTATTCTAATTGATGATTTTATTACTTAAATTATTCTAATTCTTTCATTCTGCTATCTAATTAACTTCTAAGTTTATAAACTTCATTTTCATTTTATTAACGTTGTTGATCAGCACTTTGCATAAGCATTTCAGCATCCTATTGACGTTGATTTTCATAATACTGTCTCAATTTTTCTTATTCCTTTTATAAATACTCACAACGTTCTCTCCATTATAAACTTTCTTATTGATTTAATTGGAGAGTGGTTTTCAATTCATTCATATTCTTTTCATAATTTGTTATAACATTAGAGTATTAATTAATTTGAATTTGAAATTCAGATTCTCTATTTGTGTGATTATATTGTAATTGTTATTGTAACTCTTAGTAACTTCTTTCCCACTATTAAACTTCTTAAATACGTGATTCTAAAATGAGAGATAATTGATGATTCTCTTAAACTAACATATCAATACGCTCTTAATATTATGTAATCTGTTCATAATTATTTTATATACAATAACTAAATGATTCTTATGTCCCTAATACATTTATTCTAATTCTCTGTATCTTTAAATCCACATCTCCAATTCCTATTACAATCTAATCACATCTGGATTTTATGGTTGTTGTTATTATTATTATTGATCTCTTAAGTATATTGGAACCATTATACGATTGATTACTTTATGTGTTATTGGAATTGATTTCATAGAATTTGGGGAAACTGCTACTCTTGATTTTGTAGTTCGAATTACAGGACTTTTATCAGTATGAACTTGCATTATTAATATTTATTATAAATATGTCCAATCTCTTAAATGCACTCTCCAAGCTTAACAAACTTTATGAATAAAAGAAGCATGAAATCAACCAAGATTAAATTAAAAAAGCTGAAGGAGATTAATTGAAAGGTACTATTTATATATATCTATTCTCTAGTTGAATAATCATAGTAGAAGCAAACTGAATAATTACCATAACAACAGTAACAATAGCAATAATAATAATAATAATAATAATTAAAGAGAAAGAGAAAGATGCTTATATTAAGAAAATGTGCAGGAGACATTTGGGAAGATTCTACACTTGCAGATTGGCCAGAAGGAGATTATCGATTGTTCTGTGGAAATCTTGGAAATGAAGTGAGTGATGAAGTTTTGGCCAATGCTTTTAGAAAATATCCTTCCTTTGCGAGATCTCGTGTTATTAGAGATAAACGTACTATGAAAACTAGAGGTTATGGTTTTGTTTCATTCTTAAACTCAAATGATTATTTAAAAGCATTCAAAGAAATGAATGGCAAATATGTTGGCAATCGTCCTGTCAAATTGAGTAAAAGCACTTGGCTACAACGCTCTTTACATAAAAAAAAATCTGATGGATTAGTTGGTAAATTTATTAAACCAAAAATACGTAAAATTAAACGTGTAAATATTTCATGATTTTTTTTATGCTTATTTCTATTCATTCCAGTATCAAATTACTCTCTTTTATAATTCTTATTAGAAAAGTACTAATTATATATAAATATATAATAACAACTATTGAATTCTTCTATATGCTTATAAACTTTACTTTATTCATAGACTCTTACATATGGTCATTCATTCTCTAAACCTTGCTTATGCAACAAATACTTTTTCATTATTTAATTTCATTAATTAAAGAAATATTATTTTTATTGTATCATAATATCAATTAGATAAAAGATTCGCAAAAAAAACATTTATCATGTATCAAAGTTTCAATACATGCCCTATTTGCAGAACTCCTATATAAATCTATTTAAATTTGTTCAAAAGTAACTTAGATGAAAATTATATAAATAGAGATTGGATAAAAAAAATCAAATGAGCTAATCTTATTATCAAACTTATATATAATCTATTTATCTGTTACAGATTAAATTAAATTTAGAACACAATCATCATTTTATTTAAGTCTGAAATATTTGAAGTTTAAGAAATATCGAAAAGGATTCAATATGAGAATAAGATTGTAGCATTTAAATAATGAAATAATAGACTCTTACCCAATTTTTCTTTAAAAAATGATGATAATTATAACAACACATATATTCAAACTAAGTGTTTACAAAAATAGTAAAACACTTTTTGACAAACAATATAAGATTTTGAAATTTTGGTATAATTTGTACATCACATCATAATCATAAAAGAAACACTCATTCATAAAATAATATCGCACTTCATTAAGAAAATCCAACATATTTATTTGGCACTTAATTGTTCTATATAATTAATGAATATCTACTTTTTTATTATTCTAAACTTCTACTTTTGTTATTACTTTTACATCACCTGCACCCTTAATTACTACATGTTTTTTATTCTAATTAAAATTTTTTTTGATTTGATTTTCTATTTATGATTCCTAATTTGATTTATAAAACTACCTTCATATATTATTAATATTGTAAATCGAATTCTTATTCTAACTTACTTTATTATTCTGCATCTTTTTTATCTTCTATTAGTTTCTTGTCAATAACCTATAATTAAACATTCTAATCTGGAAGTCTCGATAGTGCTTCTTCAATATTATTAGATTAAAATATTTGCTCAGCTTGATTAATATTCTTAATTCTTGCAAGCCTTGGATCTATCATTTCATACAAATCAAGTAATGAAAATTCAACTATCTATGGCAAATATCGTTTTGATAAAACATATCTTTAAAATTAAACCAAGAACTTTAATAAATCACTTTTCAATTATTTATGATATTCTCTAACAGATTCTACTAAACCAATAACTTAATTAATTCTAAAAGAATCTTCAGGAGGATCTATTAAATCTTATTCGGTTTAAGAGATATCAGAAGCATGTCCGAATTCTATAATCAAATAAAGAAGCTTGAATAGTAACTCTTTGTCAATAATATTGTAAGTATATAATTCTCCAATCATTTTTGTTATTGTAATTCTTCTCTACCTTTTATTAATATTATTATCTTCTAAACCACATAAAATTTCATCTAATAAACAATCTACTACTTAACCTGTAATATCTGGATATTTATCCTTTAGGGCTGCTAAAAGACATGCTACAAAACTTAATGATGAATATCTTCCTTTTATACTTATTTTGAATAATTATTTAATCAAATATTACTTACAATTTTAATCATTTAAAGGAAGCCTTTCCATACTTTCAAAGGCACTATTAAAATTATCTAATTAATCAAAAATGATAAACTTTATGAACTTTTATAATTCAGTTTTTTCTTTTTTTGGTTTAGCTTATCTATCAAAACTCAATAATGCTTAAGTAAATATACTATCTTGATTTTAACCTAATGGCTTTAATTTTCTCTATTTATCCAATTAAGTGAGTAAATATTCAAATTTCTTACATGATTCTCCTGAATATTTTAAAAATCTTCCACAATTATTTAATATTAATGCTATCAATTCTACATTTTAACTAATTAAATCTTCAAGTAATTAAGCTAAAATGTCTAATATTACATCTTATTTCAAAATTTTGAATTTTGTTAATTCACATAAATATCTAAGATATCTACTTTTTCTTTCTATGTAATCACTAGATTTGATTTATCTGTATTATTCTAGAAATGATTTAATCACTTCCTCTTCAAATTCTTTATAATGTTTACATAAAGTGGCAAACAAACGACATTAATAGGGAATAACAATCGTATAATTTTATTTAAAATTTTACAATTCCTCTAAAAGTTTTTTTCTATTCTATTTTGTATTAACAAATTCCAATGCCATCTAATCCACAATTTCTATTGATGAACAATCTTTCTATTTCTGATTTTGTTAAACTGTTACTTAATTTGAATCCGGTGGATTATTTATAGTAATTAATTGACAATATAATTTTCTTTCTTCTTCTAAAAAACAATCAGTGTCATCACTATTTGTTTATTAAAAGTCTCTGCCATTTAAATTTAAAATTTCATTATCCTAATCAGTATCTTATGGATCATAATCACCCATACAATCTTTAATTATTCTATAATTGTCTTTTAATTTTATGAAATTATCTTTTAATTCTTTTATTTTTAAATTGTCTGATTAATCACTCTAATTTTCAGTTAATTTATGTATTTGATTGTATAAATCAGTGAGCATCTTTTCAATATATGTAATATATTCATTTAATATAGTTTCAATTGTATTGTTATGTTTCTTATCTCTAAATATATTTTATAAATCTGGATTATCCATTAAATCTTTTCTGGTTTCATATTTATGATATCCAAAATATTCATATCCAAAATGATTCATAAAATTAGTCATCACTTATATATTGATTAGTAAATAATCTAAAGGTTAACCAGTAGGAAGAAGCATTCTCAAAATTTCAGCAAATTAATCATTTTAAATTATTAATTAATGCAATTCTCCAAACAGTCTCAACAGATTTTTTCTTTTTTGAGCTCTTTTATCTTCATTCTCATAATTTCCTCCCTTCTTTTCTAATAATTTAATATGTTTTTAAGCTGTTTATAAAAGTATATTAGTAAATTCTTCATAACTATTTAATACTGTGCATAACTCTACAAAAAATCTAACATTCGATTAATGTAATTGACAGTCAATTATAGTATTCGCAATTTCTTATAATGACCTATAATTTTATAACCTATTCATACTTTGATAAATCGCATTCCCTTATTTCTTTCAATACACTTTCATATTTTTTCTTTGTTGTTCTATTAGAGTCAGCATCTTTTATTTTGTCACATAACTTTGTGACCTTGTCTTACTTAATTTATTTAAGATTTGCATCCACTATATATTATAAGTTTAATGTTTACATTTGAATTTTCTTAAATTTTCTTTCAGAATTTGCATTTCCTCAATGTCTTGATACTTCTGTTTTAACTCAGAATTTAATGTTGCAGTAATTTTCTGACTTTCCATAATTAATTAATTATTATTCAATAATATGTTTTTATATTACATTTGTATGTTTATGTTTATTTCATCTATCTTTCTTTATTTTAACACTAATCAATTCAAATCAATTCAAATCAAAAAATGATAGAAGTTAATAATAATTTTTTAATAAACAAAGTTATGAATTAATAAAAAACAAAAGTAGCAACAAGAGATGACATACTTAAATATTTATAAAATTGTGCTCAAAATAGAAAATCAAGAGTTGTTGCAATGTACAATTCACAATTGGATATGTTAATCGAAGGTAAAATTTCTAAATATATTCGTAGGTAATGATTAAGATCTAATGGTATTTCCAATAGATGATAGACTTGCCAATAGAGCACATGGAGCTATGGAAACTGGCAATGTTAAAAACTATAGAATCAGTTCACTAGATTTTCATATGAATAGACTATTCAGATCTGCTGAAATTATTGGATTAAAGATTGATCTAACAAAAGAATAAATCAAAGGTACTACTATCATAAATTATAGATAAAATACATGAGATGGCCTTTTTAGCTTATAAGATTTTGGAGAGAGAAAATCATCCAAATATATAAGAATAAATTTTAGTTCTGAAAATATGGGTTTCCACTGGAATTGGAGACTTTGATATATATGGATGTGTAATAAGAATTTTATCTTTAGAATAAAGAATCAATAGTTTATGCTGCTCTATATATTAATGGAAATGTTAATGATGATTCAGATAAAGGAGTTAAAGAATATATTCATTTGGACATGTGGACTTAACCTAATTATTTTTCGAATGCTAAAACAGTCAATTATTTAGAATTAGCTACTATGGCAGACTATTCAAAAGTGAGAGGAGGATATTTTGGAATTAAGGTTGATCCTCAAGGAAATTTGTTAGAAGGTGCCATTTCTAATGTTGCTTTCTTAACTAAAGATAATACATTTGGTTATCCACCTTTGAACAAAACTATAAGAGGAAATACTTTAAATAAAGCTTTAAAAATTGTTGATAGTGATTTATTACCAAAAAATGTTGTGAAAGAAGTTAAAGAAATTGAATTAAACATTAAAAATATTGATGATATAGTAGAATTGTTTCATTTAAGTAATGATCATGTAAATAATCTGAATAATATTATTAGATTATTCCTATTTTAAGTGTTAATGATTAAAACATTGGAAATGGTGAGATTGGACCTATAACTAAATATTTATAGGAGAAATTAGAGATAGCAAGATCCAGTGTGAAATTAGACACTTCTGGAGATTTAATAAGAGGATTTGAGGGATAATAATGAGTATAATATTATTTGGTTAATTATATGAGAAATTCAATATTCTTAATTATTTAATAATTAAATGAGTAAATATGATGTGAAAGTATTCTAAGTCAAAAATTATACTTATCAAAAATCCTTTTTCTTTGTTGCTATTTAACATTTATAGGTAAAGGCTTTAAGGCATTTTCAAATTCAATTTTACACATATCTAATTCATATTATCTGCTTTTTTCATGAAATGAGGAAGTTCGAGTTATGGTTTATTCATCCAATTATTTATTCTTCTCATTATGGAAGGATGCTTTCCTAACATTTTCTATTGGCTTGTTTGTTTCTCCTTCATTTGATACATCTTCATCAAAAATAAATTGATTTAATGTAATTTTTAATAATTATTTTATTTAGCTATTACATTTATAAAATCTATTGTGAAAGTAATGTATTTCTTATGATTTACTTATATATTGTTTAGATGTTAGATGTATTAAAGCCCTTTATTTTTAAATTAATTCCCCAGGAAAATCTGTTCCTGACATTGTAATCTTATAGTCAAATTATCCTTGTTCATAAACAAGTTAAACCTATTCAAATGAATTGTTTTCAACATAATATCTAAACCCCTTTTACAGTAATCCATTCTTATAATAACCATCTTCTAACACTCTTTTATCAAAGTCCAATATTCTACCTAAACCATCAAGTTTATTATTCTTAAACTCACCTATATACATTTAATTTTCATTTATTATAAATCCTACCAAAGACAACAAAAGTTTACTTTTATAGAGCTAAGGATATTGTTTTATGAATTCTGAGAATAGTTTTTATTCTTTGCTAGGTTAACAATCCTTATCCTCATATTAGCCATTTTTCAAAAATGATCTCAATTTCCATTATTTACCATTAAATAGCAATGCTTTATTTATTAATATTGAATTTTGATATTCTCCTATCATAACTTCATTATTTGTTATTAATATTCCTATTCCTTCTATTGAATGGTTCTTAAATGTTGCCTTTAAAATTCCACCAAATGGAAATATCATCATTCCTTCTCCATTGTATAAATCATTTTTCCATTATCCATAATAAAGGCAAGAATCATCATAAACATAAACACCTAATCCAATCTTTTTATAAAAATAATCAAGTTAACCATAATACAATCCATTGTTATATTATATTACTTTCATTATAAATATTTAATTAATATAATTGTTAAATAATGTTCATAATAATTACTTCGAAAAATCCATTTTTAAAATCATTTCTTTTTTCTATCTACAACCTCAGTATCACATAATTACTTAAATGATCAGTCATAAATTAAATTTTTATTCATCTCCAGATTTCTTATACTTCATATTTAAGTTTTTGAAATATATTTTTTTATAATGAATTAAAAAAAATCTAATAATCATTTTGAACTTCTTTTAGAAACCCTGGAAGTTATCTGGATATAACAATCAGGGTTTCTTGATAGAATTACTTTAGAAAGTGGAGTCAATTTTTACTACTATAACAATTTAATTATGTTAGTAGGTATGTGTTTTACTTTATGAAGGAAATTATTATTACTGTTAAAATGCAGCTTAAAAAATTAAAGACAAAATTCATGATGATTTTTATATGCAAATTGATGAATTCCGAAATAATGAAGAAACTAAACTTTTTCATCAATTATTTTATTAACCCGAATATAGAGAAATAAGCAAAAATAACAGAGGATTTTGGATTTATACATTTTAATCTCTTATGAAATAATATTAAAAAATGGAATAACAAGGATATTAATCAAATTTCCCTAATTTACCAAATTATTTTATTATAACATGGTTCCCTAGAAGAAATATGTTATATATTTAATAATAGATTTTTTAAATGATTGGTTATTAATATAATCAAGGCAAATAAAAAGAATAGTTTAAATTTGATAAATAATATAATATAACAGCTTTAGAGGCTATTTCAATATATCTTATTTTAGATGTGTTGGAGATTATGGATTAATTTTAATTAAAAATAGAACTGAAATAAATACCAAATCAATTCTTTCTAGTGATTAAAGCAAATAGTATGAATTCTGTGGAAGAAATATTGAAAATTTTAGAGAATAATTTGGAGAGAAAAAAATTCTGGCCTATAGCATATTTAGAAATTTAATTGAGTTCGAATGATCTCTTTTATTTAGAAAAAGAGTTAAATGATTAGGTCAGAACCCATTCAGGAATTAAGATACATACTTATGAAGATGTGATACATGAATCAAAAAGATTAGATTAATAGTTTGATACAAATTTAAATGAAATTCTAAATTAGAGATTTTGTATATATTTATTTGATAATTAAAGGTTCAGATGAATTATTTATATTTGGAGATGACGATAAATAATGCGAAATAACTGAAAAGGTAATTTAAATAGTTAGAAAACTTAAATAAAAGAATAAATCAGACTTAGTGGAGACAACTTCCCAATATTTTTATTATTAAGAAAGCTCAAACGCTAGATTCTAAAGAAACCCTAAGATTAATTAAAAATAATATTTCCCATTCTAAAATAATTCTAAAAATAACTACAAGGATCAATTTACCTAACATGATAAAAAATAATTTGAATAACAATCTTTTTAACCATCTTAAAATTTTGCGATTAATGTATCGGACTCAAAGTAAACTTACTATTCATAATAAAAAAACACAACTTTTGCTGGTGAAACTTTTTAATAAGATAATTATCTTCCTTTGAAAGATTATAAAAAACATTCGTCAAACTACGTTAAAAACTCATCTTCATGGAAAAATTATAACTAGAAATCTAAAAGGATGCGATATCATGAATAGGCTAATTATCGCGAATAAGCTAATAATGAGGTTGATGTTTCTTTGTATGTTGCAAAATCAACAATTAATTAAGACCTTCAGAATAACTATAACTTCTAATATTCTTAATAACTGCAAGAAGAAGAGAAATCTTCAGAATTATTAATAACAGAAGATTTAAATAAATTAATCTAATGTTAAGTAATTAAAATTTAATTATATTAATTTTAAATTCTTTATACTTAGATCGATAATAAATCTACATAAAAAATTAACTTTACAGAATTTAAGCAATCCTTTGAAGAATTTAAATAAAACTATTATAATTTAAGACCTGAAATAAATTTAGAATTCAGTTCTGATAGTATAAAAATAAATGTTAAATTTAAATAAATGGAAGACATTAATTAAATAAAAAATATTTTCCATAAGTATTTTTTTTAATCAATGTATTATGTTACTTAATATTCAACATAAGCATTGGGTTTAGTGGAGATTTTGAAAAAAAATTTCAAAGTAGAATATTTTTCAACTAAAACTGAATAAAATGGGTTTTTAAGTGAATAACAATTTTTAGAATTAGATAGAGATGATGATGGTTAATAAATGGCTATTAAAATTTCCAAATATTCGTATAGGCATCATTATTTTTTGAAAGAAAAGTTTAATAACTTTGAAATATAATAGTCTTTTTATTAAAATTCTTCAATATTAGATATAAGTAAGTAAGGTGCAAATAGTAAGAAGGTGATTATTATATCAGAAGATTAATTTAAATATTTAACATAAAATTTTCCAGATTTAGAAGCTTGCTAATTGAGAAAATTTAAAGAATATTTTAAAATATCGTTTTATTTTGTTTAAATAGAATATATAGAGGAAATTCTAGAGTAAGCGAAAGAGATATTAAAAAAAATGAATGAAAAGTATGTAAAGTTATAGGTTTAAACAAAAGAAAAAGAAAATAAAAAAGTTTGGATAAAAGAAATTAGAAAAGAGGAAAGTTATTAAGTTTCAAAATTATATTGTTATAACATAATGGAAGAATTTAATAAAAAATTACTTAATGACGTGATAGATATTTAGTTGAATTTAGAAGAATATTAAGCAAATTAGAATTTATCCATGTATTATGAAGCGATAATTGAGTTGGGAAATAGAGAATTGAATGTTGGTGATCCAGGATGTATTGAAACTTTATTATTTAATTCAGATTTTAAATGTATTATTGATTACTAAGATAGATTAACCAAAAATAATAAAGATAATTGATTTACCTTAAGGAGCATTCATCACTGTATGGATTAGAAATTAGAGGGATAACTTGGACGAAGGTAGGAAATTTTAAGTTAATGAAATCCTTCCAAGGTATTTATCTTTATTTCTATTTCTGTAGAGGTTATATCCAGAAAAAATGATAATATAAATATTATCAAGAAATTATAAAAAATAAAATGATAATTTATATATTAAATGAAGAGCTTCGAAATTGAGTTAGATCTAGACGCTGAACATATTATGTGGATGTACCACTTAAGATACTTTGTTCATTATAAAAAAAAATATGATACATTTATAAAATTTAAAGGAAGCAAAGCATTCTTAAAAGGGGAAGATTTACATAGAGTTTAATGTGCTGTTTAGGATGCAGTGATAAAGGCAAAACATGAGTTTATTTATGATTTTTTGATGCAATCAAATAATCCAGATGAGAATTATGGACCATATATGGATTTATTAAGTAATTAGGAATATGAAAATATGAAAAAACAATATTCTGGATTATTTATATTTTCAAAAAGATAGTTTATGCAAATAAAGCAAGATTTAAACGATAAATTTGGTTATATAGTTAATTTATCAAGGCAATATCCTTTGAATTATGTGATTATATTTTTACCTTCAAGCAAACAATCTTTATTGATTTAGAGGATTTAAGATTTAGTATAATAAATCAACAATAATATTGATTAAGGAATTACTCCTTATAATTCTTAATATTATAGTTACAGAAATAGGGATTTGGCTAATAGAAACATATTTAGAAAAGTTTATCAAATAAAGATGAGAGATGAATAAGCAATCCAAATATTTTTAATTTTCGATATAAGGAGAATGGAAGAGTATTTTAAAGCATCATTTAGTTTAAAAGATTATGGTGATTATGTGATATTTGTTATATAAGGGTCATCCGATTCTGGATGTTAAGAGGTGATTTCTACTTTAGAGAATCATTTAAAGCACAAAATATTATCTTAAATAGAAAATGAACAAAGAGATTTTTAAGAGATGAATATGAAAATAGTAAAAATTGAAGAAATAGAATCAATAGCAAATAGATTGGATTAATGTTTTGGAACAGAAATCTTGAAAAGAGTTACAAATAAGTTTTCGAAGAGTAATTTCATATTTACAGATGCGGAATTATTTAATTTTATAAGATAAAAATAAATGAACGAAGATATCAATTAGATTTCAAGAATCACTAATAGTAATTTTTAGAGTGAAGTTGCAAAATAAATAGATAGCCTATTGATATCAGAAGATATCAGTGGAATTTAATTGAATAAATAGAAAGATTTGAAAGAGAACTTATAATATGAATACCTAAACAATAATGATTCTGAAATAGTGATACCAATAAAATAGCAGATTGGATAGTAGGAAATAAATTAATACGATAGTATTTAAATGGAAGAAGAGGAAGAATAATAAGATATGAAATAATTGAAGACCATAAAAGATCATAAGATTGAGACCTTAAAAGATAAAATTATTGTAGAGTTCTTCAATTATAAGGAAAAATCCAAATTTTATCTCTTTTAAAATAACTTTGATGAAGAGTTGTTTTATTCAGATTTTGATGTATATTGTACAGAGAATTACAATTTACCTCATGTTATTTAGCCTGATTCTAGTGAATAAAATCAATTAAAATTTATAATCGAGATATTTTCTAACGAATTTAAAAATAACATAGTTGAAATAACAGATTTTTTAGATCATTACATGAATTGCTAAGTTATGTTAGGTATTAAAAATGCTAAATAACTGAAACATGAAGAATTTGAAGAGTTATGTGATGATTTCAATTGTTCATTTTAAATTTACAATTGTGATCTGAATCCTAAATAGATAGGTTGGTCAAAAAATGAAGCTATGCCATAAAAAAGTGAAAAAGGTAAAGATGTTGCCATTATCTTTTCAAACATAATGCATTGTTTCATCGGTTAATTATAAGAAAAGGTTAATAGTCTTAATTAATTAGCTAAAAAGAGTATTATTACTTTATTGTTTCAATCTTAATTTGAATATGCATATGATTTATGTGAAATTAAGAAATTAGATTTATATTGTTAATTTAATTTTGATGATTGTTATTGGGTTTAAATTACAGCTAATAATCCAAAAGAGATTATCGAGAAAATAAAAGAAGACGATTCCAAAATATTATAGTAGACTTTAAGTAAGCAACCTGTATGTTAAAATGAAGCAATAATATTAGCTAAAGGATTATAGGAAAGAGACTTTTATGATGTCTTTATTCCTGAACTTTATTGTAAATACTATGAAAAGTTAAGGAGAGATTATTTGAATAAATAATTTACTGAAGAAGAATGGAAGAATGTTAAAATTGAGCCTGATGAAAAATTGTTTGTTGTTGATGTAACAGATTTAGGAGTATAACCTACTCATTTAGAGCCAATAATAGAAGTTCTTGCTAGTTTGAATAGTATTATATATTTCACATTATATTATTAGAAAAGGGTAAAGTGATAGAAAATACAAATGATTTGTAGCAAGGTGTCTATTTGATTGGAAGATCAAGAAATGTAAATTCAGATTCATTTGAATTAATAATAAACAATCACATCATTAGGTACGTGTATTAAAGTAATTTGTATTAGCTCCATAATAAATATCAAATGATTAATATATATAACTATTATCATCAATTATGCATTTTAACAATTAAATATGGGCCATTTTGTGGAAAAATATGAAGATGACCAATAATAAAGAGTTAAGCAAAGAGCTCTTCATACCATTTATAACAGTATTCGTGTTATTGATGGTACAAAAAGATGATGATGGTACAGGAGGGCTTTTCATGTCAATTATGGTACCAGTTTACATCCCCTCTTGTTTTGTAGGTTTATGTAGATAATTGTTGGTAGAATATGTACATGAAAAGACTAATAAGTATAGAGATTTATATAAAGTATAATATTTTCTTAAGAATAGATAATGGGAATGAAATTATCAAATTATCGAATTGCATGGTTTCTTACATATATTATAAAAAGCATAATAATAGGGTCAATGATACTCATAACAATATTGTATAAAATGGAATTTTAAGCTTCTTTTGATGTGATATTGTGCTTTATGTTATTTATTATGGCTTAAGTTGGATAGACTCTATTATTATCAACATTTTTCAGCAACTCTTAATTGGCTGGTGAATTTGGGTCATTTTTTCAAACAATTTTGTCAACATTCTATTTTGCATCTTTATATAAATTAGACTATTTGATTTACGTTTGTCCTTAATCAATTATTTCTTATTACTTGATGAACATACTAAAAGATAGCAGTAATACAGAAGCTTTCTATTATTGTGTTATAAGTTTATCTATCCATTTAATTGTTTATTATCAATTATTCAATTTTTTGGAAGAACAAGTTACAAATGGCGGAAAGTTTTTTGGAAAGTGTTTGTGGAAAAGAAAGAATAAGACAGGATATGATTAATTTGAAGATTAAATGGAGGTAATAAGTTGAATATATAAAGATGAAAAGATAATTTGATGTGGAAGGATTAGCATTTACATCAGTTGAAATTATAAAGTTATTTAAGTAATATGGAGATGTTATAGCAATTGAAAATTTAAATTTGGAGATTTATTCTTAATAAATACTTTGTATTTTAGGATAAAATGGAGCAGGAAAAACTACTACTTTAAATATATTGACAGGGTTGATAGAGAAGACTAGTGGTAAGATATTATATTTTGGAAAAAACTTTGATGAAGAAAGAGATGAGATTTAAAAATTAATAGGGTTTTGTCCTTAAGAAAATTTACTATATGATTAATTGACAGTAAAAGAATCATTGCAATATCAACATATGATGAGAGGTAGTGAGTCAGGTTCAGAAATAGAAATGTGGTTAAATCTGATGTAACTATAATAGTATTCAAATTACAAAACTAATGAATTAAGTGGTGGAAATAAACGTAAGTTATAAATTGCCTTAGCTCTGGTTGGAGGCTCTTAAATTATATTTCTTGATGAACCTACTACTAGTATTGATCCTGAATCGAGAAGATAAATTTGGAAAATATTAAAGGAAATCAAATAGATTAATAAAACTCTTATTTTGACTACTCATTTTTTGGATGAGGCTGAAGAATTAGCTGATCGAATAGCCATTATGAAACAAGGATCTATTAAAATCTAAGGATCTCCTGAAAATATTAAAAAAGAATTGGAAGTTGGATTCACTCTCACTTTTGGAAATATTTAATCATCTTAATAGTAATCTTAAATTAAATAATTATTTCATGAATTAGATTGTTCGAGTGGTTCTAAGCTTGAATATGACAATATTAAATACATTCTTAATTAAAATCAACTATTTTCTATTGTTGAGAAACTTAATGAATTGAACAAAATTGATAATATTAAAATCCAGTTAATTTAGAATACTTTAGAAGCAGCCTATCTTAAATTAAACAAAGATAATTTGGAAGATGATTAAATTATCAAGGAGTACTCTTTTCCAATTAAATCCACTAATGATGTGAAAACTAGACAAATACTCTAAATTTTTGCTTTGCTCTATAAAAAATATTACATTCTCAAAAGGAATTTCACATTGCAATTGATGCTTGTATTGCCCATGCTTATTTTATTATTTGCTTATTTTTTTGGATACCATTTATTACAAAGTAAAGATCAAATTTAATTTTTTGTATCACTATTCATCTCGCAATCCTTCAGCCTCAATTCATCAATATTTATCAACACTCCAATTCTAGAAAGAGAACTCAAAATTAGATAACAATTAAAATAAATGGGAGTGTCTCAATTTACTTACATATTTGCAACATTCCTTGGAGATTATGTTATTATTTTTATTATCACTTCATTCATTTATATTTTATCACTTTAAGTAGAGTTCCTCGAATCAGAACAATTACTCAAAATTTTAACTTTATTTGGATTATCAATTATTTCATTTTCATATACAGCCTCGTTTATGTTTAGTTCTAATCAAAGTGCATTTAAGATATTTCCTGTGATCAATTTTCTTTTTTGTTATCTTCTACCATCTATGATTGATTTGCAATTATAAAATCAATACAGCGAATTTTTCACTTACATATTCCCACTTTACACTTTAAATTTGGCTTTGTAGGATAAAAATTAAGATTAAGACTACTCTATATATTTTTTAGTATAATTTGTCATATTCATGTTTTTATATTAAATTTTAGAAAAACATTTAATATTATTTGAAAATAGAAAGAATGTGCAAGATAGTAATAGTAAGTTGTAAATTCAGAATATTCAATTTGGCTATAATTAAAATAAGCAAGTGTTGAAATAAATTGATCTTTAATTATCACCATAAAAAATCTTAAGTCTTCTCGGTCCAAATGGGGCAGGTAAAACTACACTAATACAATTAATAACTGATTGTCTTAAGTTAAAATGGGGAAGTATTATGTATAACAAAAATATGATAATTTCATCATGTTAATAATGTGAAGGTTTATGGGAAGATCTAACAGCTGAAGAAATTCTCTATCTGTATGCAAGAATTAAAGGTAGTATTCGTAATTTGAAAAATGAAATTTCATAGATTTTGAGAATTCTTTCTATTAAAGGTAAAATAGTGAATATGTCTGGAGGTCAAAGAAGGAAGGTTGCTTTGGCTATAAGTCTGATTGGAGATAGTGGTATTATCATTCTTGATGAACCATCAAATGGACTAGATCCTATTTCTAGAAGAAATCTCTAAAACATGATCAAAGCTCATGTCTACAAAAGAAATAGTTCTATTATACTTACTACTCATGATATGGATGAAGCCTAATATTTAAGTGATAATATCAGTTTTATCATCAATGGATAACAACCTTTTCCATAACAAAGTTCTGCCTAATTAATAGAATAATATGGAAGTGGAATCTTACTATCTATCAGAGCCAAGAATAAGGAAGCTCTAGATTAAGTAACCTTGGCTTTTCCCAAACATTAAAAGGAAGGATTGTTAATTGTTATTAAATTGGGAAATGAATATGATGTTCCTACAACAATTAAAATTATAAAAAATTTATGCTAAGAAGATTTGATTGGAACATTTACTATTAAATAAGCAAATTTAGAGTAAGTCTTTTTAAGACAATGCCGAAAATAATATGATGAAGATTGAATACGTAATTTATATATAAAATAATTTTTAATTTATGCTGATAAGTGATTTTTTGGTTGCAGCAAAACCTACAAAATAAAACAAAAAAGACATTTAAGCAACTGAATAATAGACTAAATAGAAAAAGAAACTCAAATTAACAAATAATGTGTTTGAACCTATCATTCATAGTTTAAAGGATTTTAAATTTGATGATGAAAAGGATGAACAATAATAAATTGAATAAATTGATAAATTAAGCAATGCAATTTAATTATAACCTATGCTAAATATAATTAGATTAAACACTCCAAAAACCACGACTTCACTCAAAAAATTGATTGTACAACAAGAAGAAGATTAATTGACCAGACATCTCAAATTTAGATAAGAAGATGTGAGTTATTTATTTACACTCTTACTTAATGAAACTAAATCTTAAATGAAAGAATTGAAAGATGATTATTAAAGCGAAAATGAATATTTGTAATATTTTTTACCTCCATTTATTAATGAAACTCTAGCCTATGTTAAAAGTACAGCTGAAGATATGGCTAAAAAATATAAAAATCCTGCATTACCATTGCCCTTAAGATATTAATTGATGATTGATAGAAAAAACACTATTCTTGGCAAATATTTAGTATTAGAAGCAGTAGAGGGTGATTTTGATTAAGCTGATAAATATACATGGAAAAAAACATGCATTAGTGAATACTTTGAATTTATAGCTGCAAAAAGTTATATCATTTAGATATTCATTAGAAATGAAAGAGAATATGTAAATTTGTTAGGTATCATCTCTAAACAAGAATCAAATAGAGATAAAAATCTAATTTATTTGCCATGGAATTCAAGAGTCATAAACTCTCTTAAAATTCCCAATATTGTGATAGAATAAGGAGATTTAAGAAAAAATTTATATTAATTAAGATAATCCTATGTTCCTTTAACATACCCAAATTTTGATGAATTATACCCTTATTAATTTTTAGTACATCTAAATCCAATTTTCTCTCCTGCAACATATCTTATTGAACTTAAAGCTCTTTTAAATATTGGGAAATCAAAATACATAAATTGTTTATTGTAACCACAAAATTACATTGAACCTCGTCCATTGATGAAATCAGCTTATGAGTTTGGAATACCTCTATTATAAATAACTGAAGAATATTTAAAGAATAATCAAAAGTTTAATCAATCATAAATGGATGCCATTAGACATTCAACCAATTATACACATCCATTCACATTAATTAATGGACCTCCTGGAACAGGTAAGACATATACATCTATGGGAATAATGAATATTGTTATGTAAAGGATGAATCAATTGAAAGAAGATAGTATTATTTTAGCCTGTGGTCATTCTAATACAGTTATTAATGATTGGGTCAGAAAAATCAATAAGGAATTTTCTAAAGCTAAAGTTATGAGAATTGGAGTGGCTGAAAAGTCAGATCCTGATATTTATGATTATTGTCTTGAAATCAAAACTTAAAGATAATTCTTTATGAAATTCACTCCAGAATATGAGAAAAAATCTATTTGTGAATTAATCAAACCAAATAAATAAAAGTTTGATTAATTGACATTGATTCATATCAAATAAAAAATATAATAATTGAATGAAAAAATTTATAATTTGAAAGATTTTTATGATGATTTGGATCCTTAATAACAATATTCTGTAGACACAGATTTGTATCGACTAGAATCATAGAAAAAAGATTTACGAAGATTCTACTCCACTCTAGTGTAAATTCTAGGATAAAACAAAGAAATTTATAAATAGATGATGTTAAACAATCTCTAAGGTATTTAAATAGTAGTATCAACTTTAACAAGTTGTGCCTCTTCCCTTTTAGAATAATACATGGAAGATAAATATGTCTCATTATGTATTATTGATGAAGCTCCTATGTGTTTTGAACCTTCCACACTTATTCCACTCTCTAAACATAAAATTTACAAATTAGTTCTTATTGGAGATCATCGATAACTTGGCCCAGTCATTTATGATAACACAAATGCCTTTGAATATAATTATAATAGAAGTCTTTATGAAAGGCTTCTACAAACAACTTAACAATATATTATGCTTAATATACAGTATCGATCTATGCAAAATCTAAGTACTATTACATCTCATTTTTTCTATGAAGGACAAGTGTAGGATTCAGAATCAGTTAGCAAAATGCAATTTCCTGAATATCTAATCAACAAATTGAATAATTCAAATAATTTTTTATTTTTCGACGTTCATGATGGAACTTAATTTAATAGCAATAATTCATTATCCAATGAATATGAGGCTTTTGGAGTTTTTTATTTAGTATGCTATTTATTATAGGATTATAACCAGTAAAATGAAAAGCCAATTTCCATAATAACTCCTTACAGAGCCTAGGTCAAATTAATAAAAAAATACCTTTTTAAATTCAACCCTTAGCTTTTGGATTATGTAGAAATTGATACTATTGATGCTTTTCAAGGAAAAGAAAATGATATCATGATTATTTCACTTGTTAGAAGTGAAGGACTTGGATTCTTAACAGACTATAGAAGAGCTAACGTTGCTACATCAAGAGCATAATATGGATAATTTATATTTGGGAATTCAAAAGCTTTATTAAATGAATAAAGATTATGGAGTCCCTTATATTAATATCTATATTAAAGAAGACTAATTAAAAATTTTGGCGATGAAGAAGCCCATGATCCAAATTTTTTCCAGAAAATTTTAAGATTATGAAAATGTACATATTTTTTCTAACTTAATATTCTAATTTTATTTCTTTAGTTTAGAATTTATTAGATTTGTTTTTAAGTTCATAAAAAAATGAAATTCTAACATTCATTTTAATTTATAAAAACTTAAATATATATAAGAATATTGTTCCTTTCAAATATTTTAATTGAGAAAACACCATATAATAGAAATCAAAAATTCAGCTTTTAAGCTGGTTTTTATATAAGACCACTAAAGAATGAAGTGGTTTGTTTTACAATCCATTTTATTTAATTTAGTATTGTTATTAGAGGAATAAGTCAGCATCTTATGGATTGCTTATCATTTTACAGTCCTTCCTCTTTTAGTTACTCAATAAGTAGTTTTATAGAGTATGAATCAACCTAGATTTGAAATATACTTGTTGTTCATTGCTTTGTAGTTAGTTAAGTTTCTGCATTATTATTATTTTATTTTTATTTACACAAATTTAAGATAAAGTTTCAATTAATACATAAAAACAGATTAATATATAACTATAATACTTTTTTTATTTTTCCCTTATAAGCCCACTTAATTTTACTATAATTTGCTTCATGAATTTTTCCATTAACCTCTTCATACCTTAAATTTAAGAAATTTTAAGATTTAAAATAATCATCTGAATTTAAGAGCTAATTCATTTGCATAATTTGGAAATCTAAAAAAATCTCATCATTTTCATCAGAATTGGTTCATAGTTATTATTACTTATAACCTTTAGCTATATATTCTAAATATAATTAATGTTTTTCTACTTCTTTATTTTGTGCGTACTAATTCAAGTAACTAATAAATAAGTAAAATAAATAATCAATTTTAAATTATTGTAAAATTTAAAAAGTCAAGTATTATTAAAGGATCAGTATTTCTGTATATTTGAGGTTTAATCCAACGACTTAAGCAATCTGAAGTTGAGTTTTCTATCTGAAAAGATTTAATTGAGTCACAGGTATACGAAGCATTAAGTAAATCATATATTTATTTTAGTTAATTTAAGAATAATTTAATTTCTATATTTTTTAAACTAGAACATTTTAGGAAATTCTATAAAAAAGAATTATTCCAATTTATAATTAAAAATTAAATTTTATAAGTTAAATAACTTAGCCAAAATAAATTAAGTTAAAATATGTGGTGACGAGAAAACTTAGGCACCTAAAACATTTTTATAAGCCAATCACTAAATTTCATAAATTTTTATATATTCAGATAATTTTTTTCAAAAATTTTGATTTATTATTTATCATACATGCATGGTTTTAATTCATAAAAATAAATATAAATATTCTATAAAATTTTTTGTACTTAAATAAATAATTTTCATTTAGCTTTTGATTGATTTATTTTTAAATTATAGTTAAAAGCATTGTTTATAGAGGTCTTCTAGAAAATAATATTGAAAACGATTAGACTTAAAATTTATTTTACATGAAATATCATATATAGAAATGGTAAAAGATTGAGCTGAATAATTCTTGAAATGTATTAAACTGGAGTATTCTTGACCTTAGAGTTAATTTAATAATTAATTAAGATTGATTGATATTAAATTTATATAAGAGTTTCTAAATAAAATGCACCTAAGTGACCTTCACATAAGCAATTACTAAATGTAATCCCCTGTTGGAGAATAGAGATTGTTGTATGATGAGGCATTTGGACAAATAAAATATCGGCAAATTCATACAAGAACTAAGGTGAAAGAAATATTATTGAAAGCAATTACAAAATTACGAAAATACACAAAAATAAAGAACATATAGTTACTCAACAAGCAGTAATTGCAAGCATTTAATGATTTATCAAGTAGTCATGTTTAATTAGTAAAAAAGGAGAAGGAGACTTCCTAATTCGAAAAATAGTATTACTAATACAAATAGCAGAATCTTAGTTTATAGTTAATAGTAATGAATCTTATGTCAATGGTAAGAATAAAAGGTTTAAAAAGTATAAAGGCAAGTCATCCTTTGTTAATATTTTGGAGTTTTTTAAAATTTATATTGGTGCTGCATTTATGTTTTATTTTTCCATTGTCTGATTCATTTATTTACTAACTCGACGAATTTATGTAGTTTTAGTTCCCAATTTTTTTTATAGAAATAATTATCTTAGCAATTGATATCATAATGAGATTAAATGTTCAAATTTACAATAAGGGTACTGTTATAACATAAACAAAATAAATAATCATATAATATTTTAAGAAAGAATTCCTAATTGATTTTGGAGGGTTACTGGGATTGTTGGCATTTTTGTTCTCTTCTTTTACACCACTAAAATATTTATTTATACTTAAAATAAAGGAATTATCAAATTTTATGGAGGTATTTAAATATGAAATAGATCCTAAAGGAAAATTTAAAAGCCATTTAAAATTGATGACCTTACTAATAACAGTAGTATTGTTGGCTCATTGTTTTGCTTGTGTTTGGATAGGAGTTGGTTAGCATTCAATGAGTAATAATTGGATAGTTTAGAGAAATTTAGATAATTCACATTGGCTTGAGATATATTTGAATGGATTATACTTTGCAATTACAACTATGACAACAGTAGGATATGGGGACATAACACCAATAAATCCTTTTGAAGTTTCAATTAGTATTTGTTTAACTCTATTTTCTTCATGTATATTTGCATATGTTTTCAATACGATTACTTCAATTTTAAAAGATTTAGATGCAAATAAAAGAAAGATTAAGCATGATTTAGAGATATTGAGTTTATATATGAAGAAAAGAAATATAGATTCTGATTTATAGAAGAGAGTTGAAAAGTACTATATTATTCATATTAAACAGTTATCTTCGTCTGGTTTACAAACATTAGACTTCAGTTTAGGAGAAGAAGATTTTTAGTAAATTAAGCCCTTAGTTAAAGTAAGAGTTAAATGAATAGGATAAAGGATTAATGTTATTGAAACAACCAGGTTTAGTAAACAATTTTTCTTTAAAATTTTTGAGAGATTTGATCGAGAGCATATAAGAATTAAATCTTACACCAAAGGAACATTTGTCAAATGATATAGGTTTAAATATGGTTTAGAAAGGAGAACTTAAAATATTATTTGGTGACAATTAAACATTAGTTGGGGATTTGAAACCAGGAGATGGGATGGGAGTGAAGTCTCTGTTTAATGGATAGAATCAGAGTACCAGATTTAATTGTATAAGCGAAGGTTTCTCATCTATTTATTTCATTTCATAATAGGAATTTTTGAAAAAGTTGAAAGATACGGATTTAGATTAATATCATCAGATAAAAGATAAGATTATATAGAATAATAATGATAATTTATATGAGAGATGTTTGTTATGTAGAAAATATGGACATGAGATTTGTGAAGAAATATATTTTAATTTGAATAAAGAATTGATATTAGCTAAATATAGGTATTCTGTTAATCAGGAGAGGCAATTAGGGTATATTAGAAAGAGAAAAATGAAATAACGAGTATTTTAGGATTTAGATATGAAAAGACAGAGTGCTACACTATGTTATTAAAAGTCAATGAAAAGTATAAAGATCTTTGAGAAATAGAAAAAAGATGATGATGATGATGAAATGTCTTAGAGTTCAAAGAGCGATGTAAAAGTGTTATAATAAACAAGAGTCGTACGATGAATTAGAACAACAAAAGCATTTTCTTGATGAATAAAAAGATAAAATCACAGTTTATGCTGATAAAGAGAACTTCATGAAAGCTAAAAATAAGGAGGAGAGAAAAAGTGTGAGAAGTAAAGTGAAAGGAACTTCATTAGTAAGAATGTTATAGAATTTTACGACTTTGAAAGTGTGGCAAGATGATTTCTTTATTCTTGGAGATTTTGACAAAATGAAATGTTTTAGAATGTATTATCCAACCTACAATTTTGATCAAGTGATCAAATTTTATAATTAAAAGAGAAAGAAGATGAACAAAACTATTTACAGAGTACAATATGGATGAACAGTATTGTTAAGATTTAAATTTATTATGCTTTTTGAAATATTGTGCATTTTCAATAATTAGAGTGATATATATAACATAATTTTACTAATTAAGTTTTAATAATAATTTTCATCCGTTAATAATTTAATGTATTCATCCATTCGAGAATCACCATAGAGACATGACACAAGATCTTTTGTCTAAGAAATTGAGTTCTTAAAAGCTAAGTGCTTAGAATTAGAAACAGAGAATAGGTTATTGTTTGAAGAATAATAATAATTATAAAGAAGAGCCCATGATATAGTAACGAATGATGCTAATGTGGAATCCTACATTAAAGAAAATAACATGTTGTAGACTGAAAATGAGAAACTTATCAAATTATCAAGACAAAGAAAAACTGATGCTGACTTATGGAAATCTAAATATGAAAATTAATTACAATAAATTTTGTAGATGAAATCTAATTATGAATTTGAAATCAAATAACTTAATGCTGAATTATAAAAAATAGGAGCTGTTTTATCTCAAGCAGAAGCTGAAAGACAACGTCAATTAGTTGGAATTTCTGGCTAAATTGAGAGTTAATCAAATCAAGACTTTGAAAATCTTAAGAAAGCTACCAATTTATAAATAGAAATTAGTGAAAGTTAGATCAGAAAATTAAGAGATCATATTGATGAATAAAATAACGAAATTAGTGATCTTTAATAAAAGATACTTAGATAAAAAACAGAAGATGATATATAAATAGAAAGATTATTAAAGGAAAATGAATTACTTAGAGTAAAAATTCATTAGTAGGAATCAGAAAAACAAAGGGAATTAGAACATTTAAATGATAACCTAAATAATTTCTCTTAATAATAAATCTAATTGTTGAAACATGAATTTGCCAGACAATCTGATGTCTAACAATCAGAAATAGATAAACTTAAAGGACTTCTTGAGATTAAAAATGCTGAAATAGAAACATTACTTGGATAAAATGCTAAAAATAAGTAAATGTTTGAAGATTAAATTAATGATTTAAGAACTGAAATCTAAATTTTAAAGCAGAAATTAATTGATTAAGAAAGACAAGCAAGAATGATTCTTGAGACATCTCTTAAAGATTAATAAAATTAACACTAGAGAGATTAAGATACTTTGAAATCCTATTATTAAACTTAAATTGTTAATCTAGAGAAAGAAATTAATGATTTAAAGGGAATCATTGAACATAAAAATTAATAAATTTAAATTTAAATCGAAGAAAAAAATATCTAAAGATAACAATTAGAATAACTAATTATTGATTTAAGAAGAGAAATCGAAAATTAAAAAATGATTACTTTTGAATAAGAAAAATAAAAGAATAATGAGATCAATGAATTGGATGATCAATTTTAAAAATCAACATCTCTTTTAAATGAGAATATTGATTAGTAGAAATTATAAATTTTGTTTTTGGAAGGTGAAATTGAAAAACTTAAAGAAATGTTATCATAAAAAACAAAAGATTAAGAATCATTAATAGCTTAATTTAATTTACATAAAAGATAATTAGAAGATGACATCAGAAGATTAAAAGATGAAATTCATTCTCTGAAACAAGAAATTTTGTAAATTACAAGTGCTAAGAATTAAGAAATTCAAGATCTTTAATCAAAGAATGATAGAGTAACAATTTAATATAGAGAAAAACTCAGATAAAGTGACATATCTTAGGAATAATAATTGTTAGAAATTAAAAGATTGAGAGAAGCTCTATCAGTTAAGGAATAAGATAATGAAAATTTAGCTAATTAAAGAAATTTATTAGATAAAGATTTAAGAAGAGCTAGAGATGAAATTGAATAATTTAAATAGAGATAGTTAGCTTTAGAAAAAGAAAAGGTATTTAATAATAATTAATTTTAGTTTACATAATTGGAAGATTTGAAAAATAAATTAGAAGCCTCAAATTCTTATTAGATTAGTAATTTGAAAAATGCTTATAATACACAAATCAGTGTGTTGCGTGAAGAAAATGAATAGCTGAAATAATAAATGGGTTAGAGAAAACTTTATGATTCCACTGTGAGAATGTGACTTTATATTATATATATTAATAATATGAGATTGTTGAAATAAAATATTATCAATTTTAAGTGGTTAATCAACATAGACGACCAAATTAAATTGAGGAAAGAGGATTGTAATAAACATCCTTAATTGATTAAAGTGGTAAAACAATTAATCCAAAAGCAATAACAATAAGCAAGACTTAAATAATGATGGATTCTCTTTTATATTTTTTAACTAATCTTTTTAATATTCCAGCAACCAAATAACTTCCACATCCAGAAACACTCTAATAATATTAATGATTAAATTACAGCTAAAATTAAGAATTAGGAAATATGATAACCTCCTGATAAAGCAATAATAAATACGGAAATAAATGAAGTGAACATCACAGTAAAAGTAGCAGATGCAGCAGCTCTTGGAGGATTGATTCCAGTTTCAAGCCAAACAGGTGTTAATACTACACCTCCTCCTAAACCTACTAATCCTCCTAAAAAACCTGCTTTCATACTTGATTTTACTGTGATTTCAAACACATTACCTATCTTATCTCCTTAAAAGTCATTTCCAACAGCTTCTTTTAGTTCTTCTTCTTTCCTAATTTATTGTCTGTATCTTTTAACATTATAAAATCCTATAGCAAAAATTATAAAATTGATGCAATGAAATCCATATCCACAGTAATCGATACCTAAAATTGATGGAATAGTTGCCGCTCCCTTTAATAATGTTAATGCAACTACAATAATCACAGAAAGAGCTATTTCTTTTAGATTTTCGATAGGATAAAGCTATTATTCCTTTTCCTGTTATTGTTACAAATCTTGAGGTTATCTATTATTTTCTGATAAAACTAAATCCTTCATTTCAACTTAAATTAAAAGATCATTTCTTTCTTTTTCCCTGATTTTTTAGTATACACTCTTCGTTTTGAGAAACACATTTAATAAAATGGCAAATAAAAATATCACTATCATTAATTTAGGTAACCATTTTCCTGTTGCCACACCCAAAATTGCTCCAGCTAAAAGTAATGGAAGTGTTATCTAAACCAATTAATAATTGATTAATGGAGTACTTCCATCTTAAATCTAATTATAAATTATTATTCATTTTTACTCTTTCTCTTCCTAACCTTGCAAAATTACCTATGCTCCCCCCAAATAACATTATATAAGTATTCCAAATAGCCTACTTACTTGAACATCCAAGCAAAACCATCATCACAGGAGATACAATAGGACCTCCACCTATTCCACCTGCTTAAGCTAATCCTACTAATGATCCCAAAATAGCATATGAGATCCAAGTAAATGGTTCATATAATGACGGTAACTCATAATCCATAATTAATTAATATACTTTTTAATGTTAAATTTTTTTAAATTCATTTCAATTAAAAAAAGCATCAATTAAGTATATAATTATTTACATTCTGCTTAAAGCTTAAAACTTTCGAAAATCAAATATTATTTGTAAATTTAGACAATCTTTGCATCGATATATAATTAATCAAATCATGTAATCAAATTGGTTTTAATTCTATCGTATCCATAAATGCTCGAACTTATTTTAACGCTGATTGATAATTATTTTGATCCTCTTCCATCTAAGAAACCTATCCTCTTAATCTATAAACTTCCTAAATAAGCACCTTTTTATGACCCAAAAGTTTGTCTTTGTCATCTTAAAGTACCACTCTATCTTATTCCATTTAGCTAATCTTAATTTGATATAAATATTACTATTTTATTGTATTTAGAATTCAATTCTGACAAATTTTCTTTAACATCTTGTCTTTATAGTTCAGAGATAGAAAGTTGATTTTAAAGTATGTTAATTTTAGATTATAATTTTAGATTCACTGATTTCTCATATTTTAACGTGTCTTAAGAATCATTTATCAAATCTTCTAGATTTTATATTTATGCTTAGGATGATTATAATTTAGAAGTTAGAAACTCTTTCACAGATTTCAAAGCTTATAATTAAGCCAAAGCATCTTCTTCTGAATCAAAAACACTATTATTTCCAGAAAAGCTTCCACTCGAAATAACTTCTTATTTTTCTTATTTAAGCATTTATTATTGCTGTTTTGTTCCTCCAACAATATGTTGAGCATTTCTACTTAAGGATAGTAACTTAAACCCTAAAGGGCAAAACATTATCTTTCTTATTGTTGAACAAGTTGCTGTAAATCTATATAGATCTTGATCGTCTAAAAATCCACAGATCCTCTATATTAGTATCACCTTTTTTTAATTAATTTATTTTACTTTAGGTATCTTAAGTAAGAAAGAGCTTTGATTACGCTTGATCTAATCTTCTCTGTGTTTCTGACTAATTTCTAATTCATCTAATTATTCAATTATTTTATCGAGTTTATCCATAAATAAATAATATTATAAAATAGACCTGAATATCATTATCCTTCTGCTCCTCCTGATTTTGATTTTGTGACTGTTTCAAATTGTAAATCAGAATTAGCTCTAATTTCTTTATGGTTTTTTAGATGAGCAAAATAAAAAGCTGTTTATGAAAACTCACTTTAATTAATGCTAGCCAACAGATGTCCTATGGCACAATAAGAAGAGACATCTAAAGTTTTCAATTCTTATCCTTTTCTAATTAGATCATCAAAAGCAAAGTATGTTCGTTCATCCAAATCATTTGCGCATTCTAATAATTCAATACTTATATCCATAGGTCTATTTGGATCATGAATTTTATCTGTAAAAAATAAACTTGCAGAAGTAATCAACATTCCCCCAATTAGGTATCGTATACAAATTCTTAATTGTGTGATTCTTATTTGTCTTTTAAATGAGTTTTCATATTTAGCTTGATGCTATTGTATTTTCAATGATATTTTTTCTTCAATCTCATCAATGAATTTTAATTTTTCATTATAGAAAAATTTCCAAATATTTTTCAACTATTAATAGGTTTTCTTAATCATAAAATGTTTTATAATAATTTTATGATTATAAGCTAAATAAAAAACAAAGATGAATTGCAAGAGCTTAAAAATTATTCTATAGAAGGTAAAGAGGTGTTTTTTGAAGTTAGATTTAATAATAGAGTTAGTTTTAGTGGTTCCTTTTATTATNTTGATTTTAAAGTATGTTAATTTTAGATTATAATTTTAGATTCACTGATTTCTCATATTTTAACGTGTCTTAAGAATCATTTATCAAATCTTCTAGATTTTATATTTATGCTTAGGATGATTATAATTTAGAAGTTAGAAACTCTTTCACAGATTTCAAAGCTTATAATTAAGCCAAAGCATCTTCTTCTGAATCAAAAACACTATTATTTCCAGAAAAGCTTCCACTCGAAATAACTTCTTATTTTTCTTATTTAAGCATTTATTATTGCTGTTTTGTTCCTCCAACAATATGTTGAGCATTTCTACTTAAGGATAGTAACTTAAACCCTAAAGGGCAAAACATTATCTTTCTTATTGTTGAACAAGTTGCTGTAAATCTATATAGATCTTGATCGTCTAAAAATCCACAGATCCTCTATATTAGTATCACCTTTTTTTAATTAATTTATTTTACTTTAGGTATCTTAAGTAAGAAAGAGCTTTGATTACGCTTGATCTAATCTTCTCTGTGTTTCTGACTAATTTCTAATTCATCTAATTATTCAATTATTTTATCGAGTTTATCCATAAATAAATAATATTATAAAATAGACCTGAATATCATTATCCTTCTGCTCCTCCTGATTTTGATTTTGTGACTGTTTCAAATTGTAAATCAGAATTAGCTCTAATTTCTTTATGGTTTTTTAGATGAGCAAAATAAAAAGCTGTTTATGAAAACTCACTTTAATTAATGCTAGCCAACAGATGTCCTATGGCACAATAAGAAGAGACATCTAAAGTTTTCAATTCTTATCCTTTTCTAATTAGATCATCAAAAGCAAAGTATGTTCGTTCATCCAAATCATTTGCGCATTCTAATAATTCAATACTTATATCCATAGGTCTATTTGGATCATGAATTTTATCTGTAAAAAATAAACTTGCAGAAGTAATCAACATTCCCCCAATTAGGTATCGTATACAAATTCTTAATTGTGTGATTCTTATTTGTCTTTTAAATGAGTTTTCATATTTAGCTTGATGCTATTGTATTTTCAATGATATTTTTTCTTCAATCTCATCAATGAATTTTAATTTTTCATTATAGAAAAATTTCCAAATATTTTTCAACTATTAATAGGTTTTCTTAATCATAAAATGTTTTATAATAATTTTATGATTATAAGCTAAATAAAAAACAAAGATGAATTGCAAGAGCTTAAAAATTATTCTATAGAAGGTAAAGAGGTGTTTTTTGAAGTTAGATTTAATAATAGAGTTAGTTTTAGTGGTTCCTTTTATTATAGGTTAATTATTAAATTTTAATCATATGGATTTTGTATTTCGGGTTTATTTTCCTTATTATTTAATAGTTTAGAGTTAACAATTAGCCTTTCAGTTCATAATCCTCATAATTCTGTTCTTCCCTCACATTTAGTTTACACTTCAAGTAAACATTTCTAATCTTAAAGAATATTATAAACTGTTAGAAATTTATTACCTTCTTTAAATAGATGATTCTCCAAAAAACTTTTCGGAATAATTAGATAATCTATAATACGAATTTTTGAAATTATCATAAAATATCTATCAATAATGGGTCTTAATCAAAATTACCAAAAATTGAAAAAATAATCAAAAAAGTTTAAAATGAATCATTCTGTGTAATCAATGATAATTAATAATAACAAAAATAACCTAATCAATAAAATTTCTAAACTAATAGTAAAATTAACAATAATTATAAAAACAACCTTAACTTTAAATAAATAAAATAGTATCAAGATGTAAGTCAAACGAGATTAAAATTAGAAAAAAGCTCGAAAGATGATAAAGATAATTAGGATAAAATTATGGGATAATATATAGATATATTATATTAATTCGATAGAGTTAAGTATTTAACCATTATTATCGCCAGAATAATGTGTCTATTATATTTTATAAAGTATGATTTTAGAATGTCTTGTATTTATAGTATCAAGAAAGTGTATTTGATTTTTAGATGGAAAACAAAAAAAAGATAAGCAGAATTTAAGAAACCTTATTACATTTACTTAAAAAGTAATAAGGGAAATAAAGATTATGAATATTTATAAAATCTCAATCTAGCCATTTAAGTCGCTTACCTTCGTTCCATTATCCTTTTTTATTAATTTAACCATTAAAATATTCTCCAATTCCATGCTATTTTCCAAATTCCCATTGTCCTGAATATTTCCTACCATCAGCTACCTTACATTAAATACACAAATTACGCCATCCTAAAACTCCTTATCCATGTTTTTTATCATTAGAGTATTATCCTTCATACTTTCTTCCATCAGGCCATTTCATGATGCCATTACCATCCATGCTTCCATTTAACCATTCCCCTTCGTATTATCTGCCATCAGACCAAACATATTTTCTGATTGATAATATACTGGATTTTATACCCAAATCCACAAAAATAATTGGATTCAAAATTTCCTTCGTATTTCTGGCCATCCACCCATAAATATTTGCCAAATCCATTCTTTTTACCATTCTTAAACTATCCCATATATTTAGATCCATCAGCAAATTATTCTTCTCCATAACCATCCTAAAAATCATTCTTCCATTCTCCATTATAGACTGTTCCATCAAAATGTACATATTTTCCGTTTCCATGCTCTAAAAAATAACAGTAATCTAACTTAAATCATCTACCCAATCTCCTTCATACCAATCTCCATCAGTATAAATCATGCGTCCTTTCCCATTTGCTTTGTTTCTCCTCCATTGCCCTTAAAATAATGACCCATCTTAATAAATTAAGCATCCTAAAGAGATAGAAATTGGTTTAAGTACCATATCCAAATTTTTCACCTTGATACCAGCAACCTCTATATAATGAACCATCCTTTTATTCATAGACTCCATAAAAATGGCCATCCTCATCATCTATTTCGTATGTGCCCAATTCATCTAAAAGTTTCTAAAATGGTGTTTTAAGATGAAATTACTTCAACTACATAATTTGATGTAGTAAACTGTGCTGATGTTTACCAAACTACTTAAGGATTAGGTCTATGAGTATCATCAGATGTTTCATTATTAGACTTGATTGTCTCTTATTATTATATTTGTTGAGCCTGGCAAAACTGCAATTAATGATCTTCAAAACTAGTAAAATTCTCTTATTTGAATTCCAGAGGCTACATTTCTTCTGTTTTTTAAATATCTGCTGATTGACACTGACAATTCCCCATTCAATATTATAAATAATGTATTATTGTGAGAATTTTAAAATATAACATGAATTATATTACACAAATTCATCTATGTTATCGAAGCATCATCATTTTTTTGAATTATTCCATTTTCTTCATTTATAAATAATTATTTGTGATGTATAAAGGTTTCTATTCCACTTTCTTATAATCTGGACTCTAAGTATATAAGTGTCTATTTTTTTTGTTGCTAATCTTGGGCAATGGTGATCTGTTCACTTCATAAGTACAACTTTAATTTAAAAGTTATGTAACTAATTTCTCTTTTTGAGAACCTTAACTTTGATCTTTCATCGTACTTGGCAAATGTAAATGTTCAGAAAACTCATTGTTGTTCTACAAATAAACTAATATTATACTAGTTTTTTTATCTCTAAAATCTATTCATTTGTAAACTCTGCCATTTAGGTAATTTTTGTTGATTGAGGAATAAAAATTGTAGTTTCTCTATTTTCAGTTCCAAAACACTTCACTTCTTTGAGGAATACTGTTTTCCGAATTTTGTCTATAGCATATAATGATCCTTCATATCTTATGTTTTATTTGGTCAATATAGAAACTCTATTTTATTTCATTTAATTATATATATTGTAAGTTTTATTCTATCTTACATCAATCCATCATTGCATTAAAATAAATAATATATATAATATTTCACATGAATATAAGCTTTCGTTTCAAATAAACTAAAATTTCACAATTTCCAAAAACAGAGGTATTTCAAATTCATTATATATAGAATAAAACTCTCATCAGTATTTCTGAATGTCGTATAAGGTTGGTTCAATTTCAGTATTAAGAATGCTTAAAGGGGAATTTTGATGCATGCTCCTAATTGGAAAAGCTTTTACTTGAATATATGGCTCTTTTGGATGAAATTCTCAAATAGCAAATCAAAGAGGAAATCACATTCTCTTGGAATGACTCCTATGAGCCTGTAAGTTAAATAGATATATTTTTAGAATAAATTCACATAATCAAATTAATGGCATTATGAATATGCATGTAATTTATACAATTTAGGCATACTATTATACCATTAAGGAGAAAATGTACAACAGATCAAAGATTCTTTGACAAAAAGTCGAAATTCTCTTTGGTGTTATTAAAAACTTTAAGAAGTCTTACCCTTCATTAATTCTAAGACCTTACAGTAACATTCAGATCTCTCGGTTGTTCATATTTATATGTTAAATAGTTATGTAATTATTTCCTTCCAAAAATAGGCATCAGCTTTTGGATATAAAAAATTATATGATCATTTCAAATAAACTAATAAAGGAAATGAAGAATTAATGGAGAGTTTAGGTTTTTTGTAGGAGGCTAACAAATTATATGATTCTAGTATCAGATATTTGATTTAATCTAAATAATGCCACAAAAAATAAATTCCACCAATAATATATAATTAATTATTGGAGAAATTTACTAATGATAGCACAATTTCAGAAGTTATCTTATATGTTGAATTGGCAAAAATTATGGCAGACACAGCTAAAGAATTCCCAAAAGAATTAAGAATGGGAAAGGCAATTGCTTATATTAATAAAGCTGAATAGGCTATTACGTCTATCTTCAAAAAATATAAAACAAAAAATTAATTTCTTGTTGATCAATTGTATTACGTTAATTAAAAATACTAGAACTTAGATAGCAGTATAAAAAAAGGAGTATAATTACTTGAATGACAAAGTAAACAAGAACCCTATTGCCAAAGAGTATGAATTATTGCAATTAACTGTGAAATAAGATTTGATAAAGCCAAAGGCACCTGATTTTTATGCATAGAATAATGAGTTAAAACAGAAACAAGAAGATGAGAAGAAGCTTGGAGTAGTAAAGTTGATTGAAGAAGTTAATTCCAAAAAATTGTAGGCGAATGAACAATTAGTACAATTTCAAAATTAATATACAACAATATTCACTTAAAATAATTTACAGTATATGTTGGATGCATTTTAAAATGCTGAGCAGTTGAAACTAACACCTTCTATTTAATAAAAAGTTGATTTCATAAAAGATAGAGGAGGATGGAAGGGTTATTCATAATAAATTAATAAAGTTCATTAATTACAATAGGAGTAGGGAAAACAATTAATTTAGATTAAGAATATCATAGATCAACAAACTTAAATTATGGGTAACGTAGAATAAGGAAAGAAATAAATAACCTAATAATAAATCGAAGTTTTCAGAAAAGTTTTTGATGGTATTAATAAATAATGAATCTTAAAATAGATCTTTAGAAAAGATTATTGGAGGCAAATTACATTCACAAAAACAATGAAGATTAAATTGAGAAAGTGAAGGATCAATTATTATTTATCGAATAGAATAATAATTAAATGATTACAAGCAAGATGCAAACTTCATTATAAGAGTCTTAAAAGTTTTATAAATAGAATATAATACATTTGAAAAGTGTATCTTTATCTGTAGAGATCATAAATAACAAGTTGGAAATGATTAAATAATAATTAACAAGCTTAGAAAAATACATAGATGATCTAAGGTTAGATAAAAGTCTGCTAAATGGAATAGATTAGTTTATGCAGTAATAGATTATGAAAATAATAAACTAAAAAATTAATGGTTATGATTAGATAGTAAATATGCAATAAATAATTATAGTTTTAATCCATAAATTTAAATTAGTTGGAAGAAGTTTCAAAAAAATTAAAGGAGCAATAATTATTTATGGCAATAGCTAATTAAGATGAAGATGCTTTTGAGAATTCATTAAAGTCAATAATTGAAGCCTTTTAAAACCTTGATTATGGTTAACAGTTTTACGAGTATTAAATTATTTTAAAATTTAGATCTGTCTAATTATAAATTGTTTAAGTAAGTTAGGCTTTGCAAGAACTGGTTAACAGAGTTAATTAGTGATTGGAAATTTGTATAATTATTTAAAATTAGATAAAATATTTAATTTATGGATTCTAATTTGCAAAATCTCATAAAGAATTATGCTCCATTATCTGATTTCTGTCCAGACCCAAATTATTAATTTGAAGAGTTTAAGGATAGATTATTCCAACCATTTAGCAGATAGGAAAAAATAAGTAGATGCTGTGATTTTTCAAAATAAACTTAAGTATAAAAAGATTTGGAAGATGAATATGAGACAGTTGGATAGAAAGTAGTGAAAAAGCCTGTGTAAAAAAAGATTGGTTTCGTCCCTTAATAACAATAATAAGTTGTATATCAATCGTATTATTAAACTGGAAAAAAGAGTAAAATGTCATAAGCTGCAAAAAGAGTGATAGTTTATAAGAAATGCAGATTTAAGGATTCAATCTCAATTAAGACAGATTGGATTAGTAATCAAGAAACATAAAAGTAAAATATTGAAAAAGTGTAATATTCATTGATTGACATAAAAGAAATCTAAAGTATAGGAACAATAAAAAAATATAATAAGGAATTTGATAAGGTTAGACCAAATTATGAGAAAAAGATATCAATAATAGGAGGAGAGGTTATATCAGGATCAGTTTAGGATGATAAATATTTTAAGTAACTAATTGCAGAAAGGTAAGGGACAGAAGAGATTCCAACAATTTACACGACTGATAAATTGTTATTTGCAGTTTAAACTCTTAAATATTCAATTTATCCATGGGATATTTTAGTAACAAAGAAAGGAAATTCTTTCATATTTGATAAATGTCCTTAAAACAGAAGTGAATTAACATATTTGGAATTATAAACAATAAATGAAAATATAACAGTTGATATGCCAGAAGATGAAAAGACAGTAAGAAATTATTGTGAAGAAAGTACAATAGCCTAATTGAGTTGGTAATTATTAAGTACTTACAATCAACCTGTACTCTTTTAAAACACATTATAAAATGATGAAGAATGTGAATAAAATGATTAAGCAGAAAGATATCTTTTTTCTGAAGATCTTTGCTTCAAATATTTAGAAGTCTCAGTTAAAGATAGAATTGAAAAAGCTGCGAAAGGTGAGGAAGTAAGAGCTGGATAGGAAAGATTTAAAGTTATAGTGAGAACAACAGTTGAGGCTGAAAATGGTGAAGGATAACCAGTATTAGTAAAATCATTAAATGAATGTGAAACACCTCCTGATTGGAAGAAATCTTTATTATCTTAAGCTGGTATTACAACCAAGTATTTATTAATCTAAATATAATAGTACTGCTTAAGTTTACAATACTAATAATATTGCCAAATGGTTATGTTAAGCTTAATTGTTAGAATGTGAAGAAATCAAAGTTGGATATTTGGCAAGATAAAATTAAAAAGATTAAGATAAACATTCTTTATTATTAGTTGAAACATTTACATAGAGAGATTTGGCAGCAATTATTAATTTTAAGTCTGTTGAAATTTGGTAAAGCGTGAGATACATGGTAGATTATCTTAAGACTTAAGAAGATGGAGTGTATGTGCTCTTAAAATAAGCTTATAAATAATCTATTAGAATATTCAAAGTTAGAGATAATGATGAATTGTAGGAGGATAATGAAGATTCATTATGATATTATTTGGTATATTATTTAAGTAGTAATAATAATTATTAATAATTATGGTTCTTTTTTAAAATGGATTTATTTAAAGGTTCTATGAGAATTAATATTTTTTATTATTCAAAGCAAATTTTGATATTTTGATATTAGGGATGGTGAGTATACATAGATTTTGAATTAAATTAAAAAAGATTTTAATTTTTTCTTGAAACAAATATGGTAAGAGAATGAGTTCTATTTTTCTAGGCTAGAGGACCTAAGAAACATATGAAAAGAATAACAGCACCAAAAAGTTGGATGCTTTCAAAATTAGGAGGAAATTGGACCACAAGACCTTCATAAGGACCTCATAAATTAAGAGAATCAATCCCATTGTCTATTATATTGCAACATAAATTGAAATATGCTCTATATGCTAGAGAAGTCTAAATGATTCTTGCTGATAAGGATGGCAATATTAAAGTTGATGGAAAAGTTAGATCTGACTTTGGATATCCAGTTGGATTAATGGGTATTAATTACTTTATAACTAAAATAAGATGTAATTACAATTGACAAGACCAGAGAAAATTATAGAGTGTTGTATGATGTCTCAGGAAAATTCATATTAAAATCCATTAAACCAGAAGAAGCAAAATTCAAGCTTGTTAAAGTCACTTAAAAGAAAGTTGGACCAAACAATGTTCCATATATTGTTACTAATGATGCCAGAACAATTAGATATCCAAATCCAGAAATTCATGCTAATGATGTTCTCAAAATTGATTTAGAAACAGGAAAAGTTGTTGATTTTATTAAGGAAGAACCAGGTAATATAATGCAATTTAAATCTTAGGAAATATTTGCTATATTGTTGGAGGTAACAATATTGGAAGAGTTGGACTTATTCAACATAGAGAAAGACATCTTGGATCTTTTGATATTGTTCATGTTAAGGTATAAATATTCATTTTATTGTTATTTAATAGGATTCAAATGGAAAACACTTTTCAACAAGAATTAACAACATCTTCACAATTGGTAAAGGAAAGAAATCTTTAATTTCACTTCCAGATGATAATGGTTTGTATTTGACAGCTCTTGAAAAGAAATAAGCCAGAGAACACCATGAAGAATAATAATAAAAATAATGATATTTTAAGTATAGTACATATTTACAAACAAAATAGATAATTATTATGAATTTCATTAAATTTAGCAACACTACTTTTAATTATTTCTTAATTGTAAATTCTCCTTGTAGTCCAATTCCAGTTCGAAATAATCAAATTCGATGAGATCATATAATTTTTATTTTTTTTCTATTCTGTCTCTAAAGGACACTTACTGCTGCCGTTTCTTTTTATCAATCTGATTTCCAAATCTATCATATCGAGTCTTAAGTATTTCATCTTTCTAAAAATCAAAAGATTTCTTGCTTTCCTGAGAGATGCCATCATCAGGTAATGATGGAGCTTGTTTTTCTAGTAAACAGAAATCTGGTTTAGGAGCTTAGCTTTATGATTTCATATTTATATAAATAAAGTCTTAATCGCAAGATTTCAATGTTTTATGATTTAGAATAATACAATAAACAACACAAATCAGAAAAGAAGATTATAATAATGATTTATTTCTTTATATATTGTACATCGTTTGATAATGCAAATCATTTCTTTTAAGCTTTAGCAGCAGCCACTTCATTTCTTCTTCTGACTGCATTTGATCTATTTAAATTTACCAACTTTCTAAGGGCTGCCTTTTGTAATCCAAGTCTTGAAGTACCGAATCTCTTTCTGATAACCTAAGATTATTAATAAAATTATTACTCTGGAAGCAGTATGTACTCCATGTTTAACAGCCAATGTAGAGGCATACACTGATTAAGTGTTTTTAGATTTTCTATCAACTTATTAGAATTTTGTGCTCTTTCTTGCGACCAAATTAATATTATTAATCTAATTTGTTTTTCCTGAGGTTGGAACAACACCAACTGCATTTTGACTAATGAATCCTTAAATTAATTAGATTCACCCTTATACCTGTATTTCCATATGTCTACACTCCAGTGTTATTGAATGGGTCCGTTGACAATGTTAATCCATTTCTCTTAACCAAAAAGGCATTGTTTCCTTTAACCACTTCCCAGAGAACTTATTGTGACATTAATTTTAAAATAGATATTAATTTTTTTCAAAATTTTCTATATTAACTAATTCATTAATGCTAAACCTCACTATTAAAAATATTCTTTGCATGAGCCATCGCATTCTCCGGATGCAATGCATCTTTACATTCTTTTTCTGCCAATATACAAACTACTATTGTTCCTAACTTATAAATTAATCAATCATCTACTTTGATTATAAAGTTGATAACTGACAATACTAATACAAATGTTTGAATTCCATCTGCCCAATTATGTGAAAAAGTTGAGGAATTCCAAAATGGACCCCAGTAAACTAACCAAACGAAATCAATAATCCAAGAATAGACAAACAAATATATCAATCTAATCTTTTATGAAACCTATTCCAATTCACTAATATTTATACAGGTCTATCGATATCCCATAATAAATATGCAAATGCAAAAAGTGGTAAATTATAATCTGGTCTCGCATAGCAAGTAAAACATGAAACGAATGCTATTGCTAAAAATAATTTCTTAGGCCACTCTTACATTTCAAATTATATATATATATATATATATTTATATTTTA